GGCTTAAGCTAGGACTTAGTCTAGGGCTTAGGCTAGGGCTTAGGCTTCGGCTAGGGCTTAGGCTAGGGCTTAGGCTAGGACTTAGGCTAGGGCTTACGCTTGGGCTAGGGCTTAGGCTAGGGCTTAGGCTAGGGCTTAGGCTTCGGCTAGGGCTTAGGCTAGGGCTTAGGCTTCGGCTAGGGCTTAGGCTAGGGCTTAGGCTAGGGCTTAGGCTTTGGCTAGGGCTTAGGCTAGGGCTTCGGCTAGGGCTTAGGCGAGGACTTAGGCTAGGACTTAGGCTAGGGCTTAGGCGAGGACTTAGGCTAGGGCTTAGGCTAGGGCTTAGGCTAGGGCTTAGGCTAGGGCTTAAGCTAGGGCTTAGGCTAGGGCTTAGGCTAGGGCTTAGGCTAGGGCTTAGGCTAGGGCTTAGGCTAGGGCTTAGGCTAGGGCTTAGGCTAGGGCTTAGGCTAGGGCTTAGGCTAGGGCTTAGGCTAGGGCTTAGGCTAGGGCTTAGGCTAGGGCTTAGGCTAGGGCTTAGGCTAGGGCTTAGGCTAGGGCTTAGGCTAGGGCTTAGGCTAGGGCTTAGGCTAGGGCTTAGGCTAGGGTTTCGGCTAGGGCTTAGGCTAGGGCTTAGTCTAGGGCTTACGCTTGGGCTAGGGCTTAGGCTAGGGCTTAGGCTAGGGCTTAGGCTAGGGCTTAGGCTAGGGCTTAGGCTAGGGCTTAGGCTAGGGCTTAGGCTAGGGCTTAAGCTAGGGCTTTGGCTAGGGCTTAGGCTAGGGCTTAGGCTAGGGCTTAGGCTAGGGCTTAAGCTAGGACTTAATCTAGGGCTTAGGCTAGGGCTTAGGCTTCGGCTAGGGCTTAGGCTAGGGCTTAGGCTAGGGCTTAGGCTTCGGCTAGGGCTTAGGCTAGGGCTTCGGCTAGGGCTTAGGCGAGGACTTAGGCTAGGACTTAGGCTAGGGCTTACGCTAGGGCTTAGGCTAGGGCTTAAGCTAGGACTTAATCTAGGGCTTGGGCTAGGGCTTAGGCTAGGGCTTAGGCTAGGACTTAGGCTAGGGCTTAGGCTAGGGCTTAGGCTAGGGCTTAAGCTAGGACTTAATCTAGGGCTTAGGCTAGGGCTTAGGCTTCGGCTAGGGCTTAGGCTAGGGCTTAGGCTAGGGCTTAGGCTTCGGCTAGGGCTTAGGCTAGGGCTTAGGCTAGGGCTTAGGCTTCGGCTAGGGCTTAGGCTAGGGCTTCGGCTAGGGCTTAGGCGAGGACTTAGGCTAGGACTTAGGCTAGGGCTTACGCTAGGATTTAGGCTAGGGCTCCGGTACTAGGGCTCTGGGCTAGGGCTCTAGGCTAGCTGCTCTGGACTAGAGCTAAGGCTAAGGGTCTAGGCTACGGCTAGACTTACACTATAACTTGAAAAAAACATTGTTTTTTTAAATTTTTTTGTCGTAGAAGTATGGAAATGGCAATTTTTTGGGTTTTGTTGAATTTTTTTAAATAATGACTGTTTCTAAGCTTTTAAGGTAATTTTTAAGTAACAAAATTTTTTTTGTTTGCTTTTTACTGCCATCTTCAATCTTCTTAATACAATTCCATATTGGCATTTTTATTGTTTTCCAGATTGTAACGGTATTTTTTGTGTCTCAATGGGTAACATCAGAAAAATTAATAATGAAATAGCGAACAAAATGTCTATTTTTATTGTATTCAGCTCACTTTGTTGTATTTTAGATCTCTTCAAACTAATGAATCAAAATCCCCGAGTGTCCCGCCTATGAACGTGTCTAAATTCTTTCATTTTAGCTCAATTCTTCAAACTTCTTTTTTGTCTAAATTGTGTTAATGTTAAGATTTTGAAAAAAAAACTTATTAATTTATACTTTTTTTAAATAACAGTAATCTGATTGTAGCAGGATTAGAAGTTTGACGACACTGGGGTTTTATTTTATCATTATTCTGAACAAAATCAATTTTTTCTATGTATAATATTTTTAAATGAAAAATCCCTATGTCTCGGCCGATTCTTGATCAAATCAGACGATTTCTTTAACAGCACACTCAGAATCGCACTGGCAATTTTTTTAGGCCTCAACTTCTTAATTGGGCAAGATGTCGTCATTTAAAGTTTCTGCACCATAATATATCAAAGACGGCTCCATGACGAGTTCGAATTTTAAGTTGTCACAAGTTAAGCATAAAAACTATCATATTAAGTCAGAATTTCACTGTAAAACCGAACTTCAAAGCCCCGAAACTCCAAAATCAACATTAAAGGGCTTTTACATTGTTATGATTACTACTAGATATTGTAATTACTAAAAACTTTTGTAAAAAGAAAGATGATGAAGTGTATATTGTTTACAATAGCAATACCTCAACATTGGTCATGTCATTTAAAAAATTTCTGTGAAACTAAAACATATTTATTAAAAATTTAAAGTAGGTATGGCTGTAAAATACGAGGTCTCTTCAAACCATCTGTCAAATCAACTTTTACAGTAACACAAGCTTTGTCAAATTTAAAAATGTAATAAAGATAATTTTCATCTGTCTTTTTTGTATAATTCATGCCACGAACTGTTCCAGTAAATGTGTCCAGAAATAATGTTAAAGCACCGTGACAACCCCGTATCAGAACTACGGTATTTGTGCCAAATTTCTTTGCAGCGTTGCAAATGACGTTCATATTCTCATAGGTATAATCAGGATTTTCGACAATGCATGTATGGAAATAAGCCCAAGTAAGCTCTTTCAAGTTTGGGAACATGTCAGTTACTCCTTGGTATACAATATCCAGATCAACAAAACTTAAGCTCTCCATGAAATCCACACCTACTGAAAGTGAAGTAACGTTGTTGAAAATTGGAAACACGATTGGTTTGCTTTTATCATTAATCATTACTTTCAGATTTGGCAGATGCATTTTTTCGATCGGCGAACTTTGTAAGTGGGTCAAGCCTGAAAAGTATAATAATGTGTACAAAAAGAGGCTTACAAGGAAAGTGACCTGCTTAGTACTATTTTTCATAAAAAAAATTCAAATAAAATTTAAGAATGGTTAAGTTTAAACTTAGCCTAATTATATGCTACGGCTAAGATTAGGTCTAGATTTATATCATAACTTTCACTGACTAAAGCATGAATAGTAACTTATAAAAGAAAAAATAGTCAACTTACAATAAATAGGAATATTGTCTTGCCATATGCTTCGTAACCCAAATATTTTAAGCTCATTTGCTTTAGTGTTAATTAGTTGTGAAGTGAACTGATAATCGCACGCAATGGTAGCTATCTGATCATTCAGTTCATCAACAAGCACAGTATTAAAAAGGTAAAATAAAGTGTTTCGTATCTTAGCCTTTGTTTCGAAGTTAATTTTGGTTGTAGGAAATTTTTCTAAGAGTTTTATAAAAATTATAAAAATTAGAAATTTAAATTTCTATTTTTATCAAAAAAAATTTTCACAGCTATTATAAATGCTCTTGACAACGATAAAGACTTACTTTTTAACAACTTTGCAACTCTCGTCGCGGTTTTCGGAGTAAAATTGATGTTTATTGGTACATTTCCCTCTTGGTGGAACGCTTCTATTATCACGTTATATACTGAAGATTCTGTTTTTAATTTTAATGTTGCTAGGTTGTTACAGAAAACACTGTTGGTGATGTGATCTTCAAACGCTTCTATCTCTGTGAACCATAGCTCTTTTCCATCATCAGAACTTGTACTATATGCGAATTCTAGTATGCATAAGCTTAAAGAACATGGTTGGTTAAGTTGACGCTGAAATGTTTTTTTACAATTTACAATAAAATAGCTTAAGCGAACTAGGCTTAAACAAACGAAACTTAAAACTTTCAAAGTAGAGGTGGGGAACGAGCCGTGTAGGCCCGACTTTGAGCTAAATCTACGCCGGGCCTGAAAATCAAGGTCCGGCAAAGGGTTCTTTCCGGATCAGACCAAGTGCTGGAGTCCGGAACTTTAATTTTGTTTTCCCGCGTTTTTTTCTACCGGTAGGATGGGTCTGAAACTTTTTCTACCCCTATATTTGGCATGGTACTGACCCTTCTAGATGCGGTTAATTTCTTGGTATCTATAGTAGTTTTTGATATGCGTTTGGCGGGAAAAATAAATTCAAAAATCCGGACCGTCAAGGCCGGCGGAAAACTTGAAAAGCCGTTTGCACGTAAAAAAATTTGGTTCGGCCGTGCTTGATGTAAAATGAAAACAGACCGGGCTTAAAAATTGGACCGTGAAAAGTGGGACCGGCTCATTTCTCACCCCTATTCCAAAGTCCAGTACACCAAGTCTAAGCAGATTTTTAAAAAATTTTTGAAAAAAGTTGAACGTGGTCGTCCCTGTGAATTTTTGAAAAAATTAGCAGAAAATTGGCACTGGTACCTATGCTAATTTTTCCGGTTTCCACCTCCAGACCAAAAGTGCTTGCTCGGCTCTGGTGGGAGCAAGGAAATAACAAAACATAAAACAAAAAAATCAAATTGAAAATTAAGTTTTTAAGCCCGGTCCAAATATTAGGCACTGCCCGTTTTAAATTTATAATAATTTAATGCCGGCCTGTTTCTTATCCCTATCTACAAAAATTTCTTAACTAAAATATAAAAAAAGCTTTTAACTTACCTTTGACATATTTTACAATAATTTCACAAATTTTTTGTATAAACACAACTTGATCGCAGAAAGAGTGCGCCAACTAATGAATGAAGGATATTAAAGTAGGCTTTATACGCGTTTAGCGCGCCGGTTTTGCCAACGCGTTTGCTTCCGAAAATCCCAAAAAGAAACGCCAACATGGAGTTTACAGCTAATATCATCCGGCTTTTTTAAAGAGACCTTATAGGATGGAAGAATATAAAAAGGTACCGGGAACACAGTTTTCAAAAAGTGCTAAACGAATTCGGCTAGCGATATATTAGCAGCCAAATAAATTCCAAAGAAAAATTCTTCGAAAAATCGATTATAGTATTTATTCAAAATGTGAAATGACTTTATGTCTTTTTTTGTTTACATTTAGTACTTTATGTTCGGTTTCCAACAGTCATAGCACCAGCAGAAGCAGCCAGAACACCATGCCTGATACTCATCTTCTTGACGTTAGCACTGCGTCGCAAACCCATTAAACGACGCTTTTTCTTTCTTTAAAAAATTTTGAAAAAAAATTAAAATTTAGTTTTTTAATTTAAAAAAGTGTTATGGTTATATTACATGACCTATGCATGTTAAATGACTAAGTTAAAAGCTTACGTTTCATGAAAGGAAAGATCATGCAGTCGATTGATGTGCTTCTGCCATCCTTTTATACTCCTTTGGCGGTCAAAAGCTGCATCGTTTGTTAAGTTACGGTCGGCGTGGTACTGTAATATCATTTAATAAACAGAGGTCTTTAGTTAGGGCTAGGGCTAAAACTAGGGCTTGTTTGAGGCTGGTAAATTAAAGCCGGGGACAGAAAAATAAAGAAAATTTTAAAAAATCAATATTATGTGGACGAAATGTAAATCATAGATATAGGGCGGGGCATGGCAGAATAAGGCTATGACAAAGTCGGTTAGGGCAGGGTTACAGTTTTAGGCTAAGGCTTTTGGCTAGGGCTAAGGCTCTGGGCTTGGGTTCTGGACTTGGGCTCTAGGCTAGGGCTCTGGGCTAAGGCTCTAGGCTAATGCCAGGGCTCTGGGCCAGGGCTCTGGGCCAGGGCTCTGGACCAGGGCCAGACTTACACTATAGCTTCCACTAACCAAAGCATTGATTTTGTCCAGATCGTATATCAAATCGTCTACTTCTGCTTCTACGTCGCCATCTTCTTCAATGTTGATTTTAGTTGTTTCTTTGTCTCGACGACTTTCTCTTGACTTCTTACGAGCTATTTGTTCATTATGATCGTTCAGTATTTCGAATTTGTTCAACTCTGCTTGGCTGCTACTAAAGTTCAAAATTTTTTATATTTTTGAATTTAAAAATAGCTAAAAATAGCTAAAACTTACCTTAAAGTCAAATTGATGTTCTTCTTTGTCGAACTGTCCAGTAAAGATTCTCTGGAAAAATAAAATTAGCTTTGATTTATACCTAAAATATAAAAATTTTTGTATTTCTAAACATAAAAATCCTCTTACAAGTCACTGCACCAAAAAAAATTTTTGAAAAAAGTTGCACGTGGCCCCCCCCTGTGGAGTTTTCAAAAAAAATTTCATAAAAATTGCCACTGTTTGCTCCTGTGCCAATTTTTTCGGCTACCGCCTCTAGACCAAAAAAGCCCGCCTTACCCTGATTACTTTTACTTACTTTAACCGCTCCTCGTTTTCCAGCAATACCAACCGTTCGTAAGCATCTTTTTTCTTGTAGTCACGCTCTAGACATGGTTGGATGTATTTTCTATTGATTTCGGCTACTTTTTTCTAAAAACGGAGTTTTTGATAAATTGTCTTAGTTTTTTTATAGTTTTGATACCTTCCCCTGTACTTTAACCTTATATTAGCCTAACCTGTATTGGTCTTACTCTAGACTTATTTTAGTCCTATTAGACCAGTAATAATAGGGCTTTGGTTTTTCCCACCTTCGGGCCGAGTCTTGCTTTACACTTTTCCAAAGTCAAATCTTTCGTTGCGGGACCTAAACTGGGCTCTTGGGGCCTTGCTTAGGCTCCAGTCTTCAAGCCCACATACTCCCCGGGCCTCTTTAGACTTGCCTTGGTCGGACTTTTTTCAAAATAGCTTTGGTATACTTCGGCCTCAGCTAAAACCTGCTTGCGCTTAGCGAGCCCGTTTTCAACTTCACTCTAGTCTTATATTAACCTTATAAACCCTACCACAACCCTATTCCAAATAAATTTTAGCCTGATTCTAAGCTTACTACAGTCTACCAAAGCCTTATTCTTTAAAAAAACTTACAAAAACAGAAGTGCTACTGAATCCTAAAACCTCTTCCACCCCAGTTGCCATGTGTTGTAGCATTCCTTTGTTGAAAGCATTGAACAATCGATATTGGTCATCCTTTTTAGCCAATGTTATGTTGAGCACCTTTACCAGGCCTTCAATGCTGCAGCCCTAAAATTAATGATATTATCAGTTACTTTAAAAATAAACGCCAAGTTTAAAATTTCAAATTTTACAAAAAAATTTTAAGATTTACCTGCACAAACACAGTAAAAATGATGACAAGGTAAGTGGCGGCCAAAATGGTCGATTTGGCTGGGCTGGACTCGCTGATCATAAATGCTAATGAGAATGACACTGCTCCACGTAGACCTCCATAAGCCTAAAATTATTTTTAAAAACTAAAAAAAAACAAAATTTTTAAAAATTTTTAAAAGTGACATGTTATACGATGAAATATGCCCAGATGGTATAATATATTTGAGCCACAACAAATTAATAAACAAATTTTATAAAATTTGTGTTTAAGTAAATTTAAATGATACTTTCCGGCTGTAAATGTCATTTTAAAATGTAGTGACATGTTATACTATGAAATATGTCTAAAAAAAGTTTTTTTCGTGTAACTTGACCCCTTTTAAAAATTACTATTGATTAAAAAATGTTAAATACCAATTTTCAGTAGCATTTTGTACTATGTAACCAATTTTAATGCCAAAAGACTAGTTATATGATGAAATATGTCCAAAAGAAATTTTTGTCGTATAACATATCGCCTTGTAAAAAATTGTTACTGCTTTGACTAAAAAATGTTAAATATTGGATCTTAGTACCATTTTATACTATCAAACCAACTTTTGTCCCGAGAGACACATTATACTAACAAAATATGTTCAAAAACAACTTTTTTTATATAACATGTCGCTTGAAAAAAAATTTAAAATTAAAAAAAAATGTTTTTTTGGTTTCTAATGCCATTTTAAATAGACCGCCCAAAAATTTTCAAAGAATTTCTTTGTTAAACCTTCTTACCATAATAATTTGCTCCCGGAACGATATATGCCGATTGCTGCTGGTCACCTTGTTTACTATGTAACTCAGTCCAAACACAACTGAAATTACTGTGCTTTATTTCATTTTAAAAGCAAAATAATAGGCTTTCCAAAGTTTTATAAAGAATTGTAAGCCTTACCCAAAAAACCTAGCCAAAAGGCACAAAACCAGCGAAGTGAAGGCGAAAACCGGGTGCCAATCGCTCCAAAACCAATTTTTTTTCATTTACCAACATAACGCCCAGAATGATGAAAATCAAAGATTCTGACACGGAGCTGATCACTTTTACTGCATAAGAAATGGAAATGTTGGATTTGGTTGAGAGGTTCTTGATGGTGTACCTGGCTTGCACTATACCACAACATATTATACTAAAATCGTAGTAGTATAGTAGGGTAGGGTAAGGTAAGGTAAGGTAAGGTAAGGTAAGGGTAGGGTAGGGTAGGGTAAAGTAGGGTAGGGTAGGGTAGGGTATGGTAGGGTAGAGTAGGGTAGGGTAGGGTAGGGTAGGGTAGGGTAGGGTAGGGTAGGGTAGGGTAGGGTAGGGTAGGGTAGGGTAGGGTAGGGTAGGATAGGGTAGGGTAGGGTAGAGTAGGGTAGGGTAGGATAGGGTAGGGTAGAGTAGGGTAGGGTAGGGTAGGGTAGGGTAGGGTAGGGTAGGGTAGGGGTAGGGTAGGGTAGGGGTAGGGTAGGGTAGGGTAGGGTAGGGTAGGGTAGGGTAGGGTAGGGTAGGGTAGGGTAGGGTAGGGTAGACTTACGCAATAATTCCAGAAAAATGAAAGAGTTCACTGCATGAGTATGACAAATATGCCATTCCCAAACATATTACTGGTTCCACAACTGAAAAGTGACATTACTGTAAATATCGTTGTGTGACGTAGCTTAATCTTTGATTTACAACCTAATAAATTAAAAAAAAAGAAAAATAGTATTATAGGGGTTTTAGAAGTAGTTATGATAGTAAAATACGGCGCATTGATGGATTGTATTTTAATAAGAATAATAAACATACCTCTAGCACTGATAGTAAACTTTGTGACATAGGAAGAAAGTAATCCGCAAGCTAGGCCAATGAATAATCCTCCAAAACTTACAGTCAAAAACGATAATATGCCTAGTAAAACCTGAAAAAAATTCGCAGTTTCACCAATAATACGATAATGTAAAGTGAGGTAAAAATAATATAGGGTACGGCAAAGTTGCGTAGAGAAAGATAGGTAGATAGATAGTGTAAAGTCCTAGAAAACCTAAAAAAATCTTAAAATGAACTTACATCAAAAACAGTGACACTATCAAGCTTCTTGAAGTCTTCCACCAGATTGTAGCATACTACAGTTACGGCATCTGAAAATGCATGGAAATTTGTTTAAAATTTTTAAAATACTGCCATGTTTTATAGGCAAGCTTACAAGGAAGGTACCCGATCTGCCCCGCTCAGAATCAGCTCAAAATGTTTATATGACTTCTTTGTACCACCAATAGTATCCATAAAAAACTTTAGCTTGCGCTTTTGAGTTTTAAATTTAAATTATTAGGGTTTCCCGCCAATTTGGCAAATTTGGCATTGTGTTTCAAGCACTTTTTTCGGCTTTCCAGACCAGATACGCTTACAAATTTAAAAATGTGGGTTCATTTAAAGGTTTTCTACTAGTATATCAAAGAAAAATTACCTGAAGACCTTATATTTGATATTTCTAAATAAAAAGTTTGAAGTCAATCAGAGCGAGGCAGGTCGGGCACTTTCCTTGTTAGGTAAAACAAAAAACTGTATTCAATAATATAATTTAATTTAGCACAACTAAAAACTTGCCATTTAGCAATGACTCTCCAAAAACCATAAAATACAAGGTTTTATTCACTCCAACTTCAGCGAAAATTGCCAAGACCTAAAAGAAGATACCTAGGTAAAAAAGTTTACAGTTTTATCAACATGTGTCTCTTTATATTACCCTACCTTACTATATTTCTTATCAAAAAAAATATTTTAGGGGTGGTAAAAAAATATATTTTAGGCGTGGTAAAACAAAAAATATATTTTGGGAGTGGGAAAACAAGAAAATATATCTTGGGAGTGGTAAAACACAAAAAAAATAATTTAGGGATGGTAAAACAAAAACAACTACATTGGGGGTAGTGAAACAATAAAATATATTGTGGGAGTGGTAAAACGAAAAAAAATATTTTAAGGAGTGGTAAAATAAAAAAAATATTTTAGGGTAAATAAAACAAAAAAAATATATTGTGAGAGTGATATAACAAAGAAATATATTGGGCGTGGTAAACGATAAAAATGTTTTGTGTGGGGGGCGAAAATAAAAAAAAATTTTTTTGAGAATGGTAAAATAAAAAAAAAATAATTTAGAGACATTGAAACAAAAAAAAACACGTTTAAGAACTCACAGCAACAGGATCAACGGCAGCAATCAAAGAAGCGAACAATAAACAGTCCAAAGAGCTGAACCCAAGCTTTCCAAACAGTCCAAATTTGTCCAAAGCAATCAGAGAGCCTCCAACTAACATTATGTTCATTACTGTGCCCTGAAAAGACGTATTTTACTAGTGGGTCTAAATGAAACAGTGTTAAAGAAGTTAAGAAACTATAAAGACAATATGAAATCGAAACTTTGACTAAACTTACAAAAACAGCAAACACTATAATCACTCCAACGTTGTGATAAAAGGCTGGATCATTCAAACTGTAGGCGGATTCTAGTATAATACTGAAATTTGTTGGGATTACAAGCATAATATTGTAAACGTTGCATTAGACTTACGGTGGTAATAAGAAAAAGAAGAAAATTTTTGAATCAAATTCTAAAAACTTGACTGGATTTGTGTGACTATCGGCGTTGACATAGCTGCAAAGAGTAATATATTATTACTACTCTACCCTACCCTACCCTACCCTACCCTACCCTACCCTACCCTACCCTACCCTACCCTACCCTACCCTACCCTACCCTACCCTACCCTACCCTATCCTACCCTACCCTACCCTACCCTACCTTACCTAAACGTAAATCTTCATTATAGCTAAAGTAAAGCCAAGTACACTTACAAAAATATTAATCCAAGAAAAACACCCAGTATGATCAAGCAACAACTTTCAGGTATCAAAGCTCTCGGATACTTGTAGTGGTGGTATACTGCAATATTCTCTTTTATCTCTATTTTAAATGTCATTTTAAAACTAATCATGATTTAAAGTTTAAAAAAAAACTTACAAAGTTTAAAAAACCCAATAAGAACAATAAACAAAGCTAAAATCAGTTCAGCTTTGACATATTCGAATCGGAATGAAGCCACTTTTACTCCAGCTGCTTCTACATTGCAGTATAGGTATTGTAGTAACGTACAGAAGAGTATGACAGGTAAGTTCATAACTTCATGTAGCTTCTAGTGAACTTCTTGAAAATTAAGCTTAAAATTGAAAAAAAAATTAAAATTAAGGAAATCAGGCTAAAAAATAAAAAAAAAGTTTAAAAGTAAGAAAAATATGCTTAAAATAAAGAACATTAGGCTTGTAGTTTAGAAAAATAAACCTAAAATTAAGACAAAAAAGCTTAAAATTAAGAAAAGTAAGCCTAAAATTATGATGAGTAAATTTAAGATAAAGAAAAACAGGCTTAAAATAAGGAAAAATAAACAAAAGATAACAAAAGATAAACTTAAAAAAATAAAAAATAAACCTAAAACTTCAAAAAAAACCCCTAAACACCAAAAAATACGTCTACAAGTAAAACTTTAGGCTTATGTTGACCAAAAAGTTTTAAAAACCAGCAACTGACAAGCTTGTTGAACAAAGTTTTCGCACTTTTTATTAAGAGTTTTATGTCATTTTTTAGAGCAAATTATAATTTTATTACTTGTTGATAATACTGTTTGCATTGTCACTCAAACATGGAATAGATTAGTGAGTACAAGATACGATCACTTGACGTCACTATTTTTTTTTAATTTTTAAAATTTTTGTAAAATTTCTGCTTAAATTTTTGTGTCCAGCCCTGTCTCAAATCTCGGCCCATTGCTTATGGCTATGTGTGGGGGCTTGTATGTTTAGAAGCACGTTGTTGCTACGCAGTATGTTTCGAAGCCCGTTGTTGCTCCGTAGTATGTTTTGTAGCACGGTGTTGCTCCGTAGTATGTTTTGCAGCACGTCGTTGCTTCGTACTATGTTTTGCAGTATCTTCTTGCGCCGTCTATGTACTGTTTTGCAGCATATCTTGCTCTGTACTATGCTTTGCAGTATGTTGTCATACCCTCTCCCTATAACCCTGAAATTCAACTTAATTTCGTGTGCATTCAAATCCCTTAGAATAAACAAAATTTAATTGTGCTTTAATCTTTTCTTTGTTGATTCGCCCGCCTACTCTCTTCTTCTGAACACAAAACTCTCGAAGACACTTTTACAAAAGAAAATATATTTTAAAGCCCGAAATCCGTTCAAACTTTTTCCATTTTTTTTGAGATCGGAATTTGGGGGGGGGGGGTTTGATTTATCGTATTTCTTGGTTTTTAGATATTTTAGATGTTTTAAAATTTTTAAGTTTTTAAATTAAAAAAAATTTTTTTTGAAAAAAGTTGTACGTGGTCCTTCTTGTGAATTTTTTCGACCCCCGCAACCAGACCAAAAGTCCCCGCCCGGCCCTGAGTGTAGAAGCAGGGAAGAGATAATGCCCTATCCTACCCTACTTTTTCCTACAATATCCTAGATATGGGGAACAAGCTAGGCCCATTTTTAGGCCCGGCCCGGTTTTTCCTTTTTTTTAACGTTTAAACGAGCTAGACTGTTCGGTCCTCACGGACCGAGTTTTAATTTTCATGCCGGGAGGGACCTTTTTTAGAATTTTAGCGCTCGGCCCAAATTTTGCTCAGACCCGGCCCTGTTCGTTCTCATGTCTACTCTATCCTACTCTTTTTCGCTTTACCTTTAATAACCTATTGGATGACATAGCCTAATATTTAAAACCTTTTAGCAGGCAGTGACCATCTGACAATGATTGACATGTTAAATTACGTAAGAAAAGAAGATGAGTTTTATTGTAATAGGCTACCGTTATGAGATCTATAATTGTGCCATCTTCTTTATTAGGTAATTTTTAATGGTTTGTTGGGTCGATCAGTAAAGGGGTAAGGCAGCTATAGAGCAAGGTAGGCTAGAGTAAAGTAGGCTAGAATAGGGTAGGTAGAGTAGGTTAAGTTCACTTCTGGCTTACGTCCAAATGTTCTTTTTGACTCAATACGGAACGCTAGGAACGTTGGACGCAATCAATGTTCTATAAATAAAGCGAAGGTCACTTAAAGGTCTTTTCACCTGCCATTTTATTTCAAAAAACCGTCTTCGATTTGCTTTGTTATTTCAAAAGTTTTTTTTTTCATTTTTGTGTTTGACTAACGTTCCATGGAACAGTGGTTTTTTTTATTTTTTGTCATTTTGAACGGTCTGGGAAAAAATATAGTTTCAAGAGTCAGAAAGAGTTTTACGCTTAGACAGCTTAAAATCTCTAGGCTTTGTAGGTTTAGTAGGCCGTAGGTTAGTAACCTAAGGTTTAGTAGGCTTAGGCTTAGTAGGCTCAGGCTTAGTAGGCTTAGGCTTAGTAGGCTTAGGCTTAGTAAGCTTAGACTTAGATGGCTTAGGCTTAGTAGGCTTAGGCTTAGTAGGGGCTTAGGCTTATGCTTAGTAGGCTTAGGCTCGGAAGCTTAGGCTTAGGCTTAGTAGGCTTAAGCTTAATAAGCTTAGGCTTAGTAGGCTTAGACTTAGTAGGCTTAGGCTTAGTAGACTTAGGCTTAGTAGGCTTAGGCTTAGTAGGCTTAGGCTTAATTGGCTTATCATTGATAGACTAAGTTGTAAGCTTAGGCTTAAACTTTAACTTGGGATTAGCGAACCTCAACTTATAAAGTCTATGTTTGAGTAGCTTGAGCTTATTAGCTTTGGGTTTATTAGGTTTAAGCATAGTAAAATTAATTTTAATGGGCTAAGACTTAACAGACACCAGCTTTTGAAGATTACCTTTAGGCTTAATGCGCTGTTTTTTCGTCTTAAAGCTTAGCTTTTTCTAAATATGCTTAAAGTTTTTTACCGTTTGAAACATTTTTCGCATGTTTATGTTATGTTTTTGGACGAATTCCAACGTCCTTACCCTCGGCTTAAACTCTATTTGAACGTCTTCCTTTCGACCTCATATATAACACCCATTAATCTTTGCAAAGCGTTGTTTCGTCGTCTGATTTGGCCGAAAAAACTTTTGAAGGGATTTAAATTTTGTTTTAAATACATATTTTTAAACTGGCATTTTTTAAAAAATTTTTGAAAATGTCAATTTTTTACTTATTTTGATATTCTCAATTGCAACTGTGCTTCATATTAGGTTGTTAAAATAATTCTGCGCTCTATTACCTTACAAATTAGCCTTTTTGTCACTAGCCTTGAAAGGAGGCTCAAAATTTAATGTACAACCTCATTTATACGTTTAATATGGCACAACATTTAATTTTCAAAAAATTCTTGTAAACTTTTGACTGGTATTTTTAATTGTGATTCAGATGTTCAAAATGGCTTATTTAACTAAAAAACACAAGAAAAACTTTTGTTTAGGCGTATGTATTGTTTCTTTTAGTATAATAAAATATGGTTTATGAGAGCGTTTGTTATGTTAATGTCTTTTGAATTGTGTAATTATTTAAGAACAATGGCTTGTTTATGCATGTATGTATAAGATGATGATTAATAATAAAAACAGTTTTTGCACTTTTAATAGTGGCCCTAGACCTAGAACAGAGACAGCCCAGAGCCCTAGCCCAAAGCCGTAGCACAGAGCCCCAGCCCAAAGCCGTAGCACAGAGCCCTAGTCCAGAGCCCTAGTCCAAACCCTTTGCCCAGAGCCCCATCTCGGAGCCCTAGTCCGAAGCTCTAGCCTCAGCCTCAAGTAAGAGTGACGATACGATGTTTTTCTCAGATTACGGTAATCTTATAAGTGGGCTCGTTTGCGCGCTTTTGATGTCAACATAGTGATTGAAGTGTACGTTAGGCGATTGACAGTTTCGCTTGCGTCAAAAGTGAAGATGCGCCTAAATGGCAACATCTTCACCGATAAAATCTTTTATAATGTTGGTATTGTGGTCAACTTAGTTTTGATATTTAAGCGTCATTGACGCCGTAGCCTGAGCTTAATTCTGAGCTTGAGCTTAAACTTGAGCCTGAGTTTTAGCCGAGGTTTAACCTTAAGCCTGAGCCTCAATCTGAGCCTGAGTTTGATCTTGAACTTGAGTTTGAGTCGGGCTTGAGCCTGAGCTTGACCTTGAGCTTGTGTTTGAGCCTGAGCCTAAGCTTGAGCCTGAGCTTGAGCCGTGGCCTGAGCCTGAGCCTAAGCCTAAGTTTAAGCCTAAGCTTAAGCTTACGCCTAAGTTTAAGCCTAAGCCTAAGCTTAAGTTTTTGTTTTAGCTCTAGATTTAGCCTTAGCTTTAGTCCTGGCCCTAGTCTTAATCGTGCTTATCTACCCTTAGCCCTAAGATACTACCTCTTCGGCTTCTTCCTTTTATTCATTTCCTACTCCTTCAAGCTAAAGAGTAGCTAGCTGATTTCCCCTTCCAACTTCATTTTTTCCAATTCAGCTTACATTACACTTCCTTCGATTAAGCTTTGACATTACACTCGCCCCAAACTTAAGCCGCAAACATTCCACACCTGTTGGAGAAGCAGGGTGGGTTGACGGTGTAACGCCGATCACTATTTTTGGCGTTATCAACCCGGAGAGGGCGGCCAGTCGCGGCGACGGAACGAAGAGAGTGCATATTCCGACTTCCGGTCCGTTCCGTCTTTCCTTCAGTTTTTGGTCGTTTCACCTGCGAATTTCTCGATTCCAACCAAACTGAAAACATTTAACAGTCCGCTTGCAGCTTATCACCTTTCGTCGGGGTAATTGTTGGCATTTTTTTGGGGGTTGGGGTGATGGGAGAAGGGATTTGAATTTTTTATTGTGGGAGGGGGTAGATTTTTTATTTTTTTTAAATTTTGGTCATTGATGGAATAAAAGGAAGATTTTAAAATTTTGTTTAGGTTAGTGTAAGGAAAAAATGAATTTTTTTAAAATTTTTGTGTAAAAAAAATTTTTTTTGATAGTCTTGGCAAGGTTTAAACCAAAGTTTTTAGCTTTAGAGACTATAATTTTAAATTTCGAGTTTTAGGCTTGTTTTTATATTCTAGGCTCACTGTGTTTTAAAAAAAATGATTTTTTAGGCTTAGTAAATTTAGGTTTAGTAATTCTAGTTTTCAATTTATTATTGGGCTCAGAGTTAGTAATGTTAGACTTAGGAGGCTTGGGCGTGGTAAGCTTAGTAAGCTTAAATTTAGGATGTTTAAGTTAAATGGGGTCGGAAGCTTAGTCGGCTTAAATGCAGTAGGCTTACCCTTAGTTGTCTTAGGTTTAGTAGACTTAAACTTAGTAGACTTTGGTTTAGTAGGCATAGGCTTAGTAGGCATAGGCTTAGTAGGCTTAGGGTTAGTAAGCGTAGGCTCAGTAGACTTAGGCTTAGTAGGCTTAGGCTTAGTAGGCTTAGGCTTAGTAGCCTTAGGCTTAGTAGCCTTAGGCTTAGTAGCCTTAGGCTTAGTAGGGTTTAGCTTAATTTTAAATTTAATACTTTTAAATCAATAGGCTTGTAAATATAAAATAAATTTTTTTTTCGTAATCTATGAGTTCAAAGTGGATTCAAGTATAAAAAACTTTTTTAAACTTATTATTTTGCCAGCAGACACAGTATTAACATGCAAAAATGCTAATTTCAAATCATAAAAGCGAGGGTGAGGGTTGAAATTTGGTATTACTATAGTTTTACAATGGTCTCACTGACTTTTATTAGTCGTACTGTTTTCCTACAAAATTTTATTGTAAAATACGAACACAGTAACACATTCGATCTTATGTTTTCTTTTTTTTTAATAAAAATTTTAAGTTTTGTAAAAAGTCTTTCTACATGTTAGTCTCTTTATGTCTACTATAATATACTTTTTGTTTTATAACTTTTTTTAAGTTCATTTTTAAATTACTGTTTTCTCATGATTTGGATATACTATTGATTTATCTAAATTAAAAAGTCTAAAAATTGTCAGGCGTATTTTACATTTGCCATTTATTCTAACTTTTGTCCTTTCTGGCCTACTACAATAAGATTTTTGATCCGTAACTTTTTTTGTGTAGCAATTTTTGACATATTATTTTAACATGGTATTTCTATTGTAATTATTTACCTAACTCTTAAGTGAGTGATAATAGCGTATTTTACATTAGCTACATTTATTTTAATTTTTCTTACTTTTTTTTGTCTACTACAATATACGTTTTGATCTGTAACTTTCTTTGTGTTTCCGTTTTTTTAAATTCTTTTTTTGACATAATGTTTATATGGTACTCTTCATCTAAATTATTAATTGTAAGGCTAAAGAACGTATTTAACATTAGTTACATCTATTTTTATTTTGTCTACTATAACATAAGTATTGCTTCATAACTTTTTTTAATGTTAAAATTTTTTAAATAACCTTTTAGTATGATATTTCTATTATAATTCTTTACCTAAATCTATAATAGCGAAGCTTTACAACGTATTTTAGAAAAGCTGCATCTATTTTTATTCTATACCTACTATAACATACTTATTGTTTCATAATTTTTTTTCGAATTTTTAATTTTAAGAAGTCTTTTTCATAACTGATTTACATACTATTTTATAATCAAAATCTAAAAAATCAAGTTGTTAGACCTTGTTTTACATCAGCTACATCTATTCAAACTTCATCTCATCTCCCAACGCCTACCACAACATCCATTCGTTCAATCCTTTTCCACCCAAAAACCGCCAATTTTGCAAGACTTTTTTATCACAAAGTAAACGAAATGATAGTAAAACATTTCCTACACACAGTTTGGGCCTGCCAGAACGCAAAAACATAAATTGTTATGAAGAAAGTGTTGAATCCGACAGGCGGATTTCCGTTTTTTGGTGGGGCCGGAAGTGACGCAACCTTTGTCGTTGTTAATGAGCTCCCAAATCTGGTTTCGCGCTTTGTTTCGATCACTGATTCGATTAGGGAGAAGATTCGGCTATTTTTATATTAATCATGAATAATAAACTTGCTGCGGGAGGGGTTTTTTGCAATCGGCTTTGGTTTTTCGGGATGAGCTGGAGTTTCGAAATATAGGGAGAGGGTGAGCTGTTTTTCTGGAAGCACAGCAAAAAACTTGAAAAAAAAATGTTTTTTTAAATTTTTCTCATCTTATTTAAATTTTGATTTTTTTCAATATTTTAAAAAATATGATTTAATAGGCTTAAAAGCAAACCAGTAGGCTTGAGCTTATAGCAAATAGTAGTTGCATGTATAGGGTTTAGTGGTTTTGTATTTTGTCTATATTGTGGTTGTTTTCTGGACTAATCGGTTCATTCTACAATTTTAAAAATAAAGTCTTTTTAGGCTTAATTTAGGGGGTATGATTTTTTTTTTGGGTGTGGTGAATTTTTAAATAAATTTATAGAAGGGTAGGATAGTACAAAATGTGACAAATTAAAGATGGTGCCTCGAAGAAAAATAGGATCAGGTCTCAGCACTCGCAGTAATTTGGTGGGTCGTTTTACATTGAGGCAAATATTACAAAAATGAACAATATTGCATAAGAAAACGTTGCGCAATACCATTTCTTGCAATTTCTCCAAGGCTATTTTGTTATATCAAGAGATTAAGTAATACCGCAATATCTATTACGTAGGGTAACTTAAGGCTTTTATAGTTTATCTTAGGTCGGTTTAGGCCTAGCTTTTAGAACAAAAGGTACGTATATGCTTGGGCTTATTGATTTTATGCTAAACTGTAAGTTTAGGTTTAAGCTTAAATTTAGGATTAAATTTAGGCTTAAGTTTATGCTCAAGGTTAGGCTTAAAATTAGGCACAAGATTAAACTTGGGCTCAAGCTTAAGCTCAGGCTCAGGTTTAGGCTTAGGCTCAGCCTCAGGTTTAGGTTCAGGTTCAGGCTCAGCCTCAGGCTCAGGCTCAAGCCCAGAATTAGGATCAGAATAAGAATCAAGCTCAAGCTCACGTCGGGCTTTTGTAGCTCAGACTCTAACTTTACACTTCAGCTCTATATTTACCTTACGCTTCTATTTTTGTCACATTACAGCTCGATTCAAGCCTATTTACCCCAGTAATTGCAATTTGTTATTTCTATCAACTTTTCGTGTCATGCATAATATTCCCCTGTTTTATTATTACAGGATATAAGACGTGTTTAATTAAAATTGCTATTGGGTTGGAAAATTTTATCGTTTTCAATTTTAAAAATTCTTTAGGTTTTGAATTTTTAATGTAATTTGAGTTTAAAAATGTCCTTTTTGATTGTCCGTGTCATTTAGGGTTAAAAAATGTCATTCTTCATCAAAAAATGTCGTTTTAGGTTTTAAAATTTCACGTTAAGTTAAGAATGTCATTTTTATGGCCATACTGGTCATTTTGCAATAAAAATGTCATCTTAGGTTCAAAATGGCTGTTTGAGATTATAAATGTAATTATGAAGCTGGAATTGTTATTTTAGGCTTACAATTAACATTTTTTTATTACATATGTTTTTTTTTTTGAATTAAAAGTGACATTTTAAGCTTATAAATGTCATTTTGGGTTTACAAATGTTACTTTAGGCTTACACTTTTCTTTTTTGTTTTAAAAGTGTCATTTATGGGTTAAAATTGTCATTTAGGGATAAAAAATGTTGTTTTGCATTGTGATAAGCGTAGATTGGTATTTGTAAGTGCAATATGACACATTTAAGCCTAAAATGACATTTATAAACATAAAATGACATTTATAAGCCTAGAATGAAGTTTAAAAGCTTAAGGTGATATTTTTTAGTTTAAAACGATTTATAAGCCTAAAATGGTATTTTTAAGACTAAAATGACCGTTTTTAGCCTTAAATAGCATTTTTTATTCAAAATGACAGTGTTTAAAAGCACATTTTTAACAAAAAAATTACGTTTAAAATGGCATTTTGACAGAAAAATGGATTTTTCAGTATTTATGATGACATATTTAGCCTTAAAATGCCATTTGAAATGAAAAGTGAAATTTAAAATTTTTTTTTATTTTTATTTTTACTGAAATATTTTGGTTTATGCCATTTTCAATCCTATACAACATTTCATTTCAGTACTGTCACCGCTTGATGCACGAATGTGGGCCGCCGACCACTCCGCCGGTCCAGCCGGACCCGAAAACGCGTCGCATCGAATCGATTCGTATGGCCATAGTTCAGCTGAAGAATTTGCGTATAACACCGCCACCGCCGACCTGTGCCCCATGCCAACATTCCAAACCGAACCTGCCCACTCCCTTGAAAGGTCGGAAGGTGTCCGAGAACTTATGCCTAAACTACCCATCAGTATCGTCGGTGTTGAGGGTGCATCTGAAGTTTGATGGGAAGGAGTTCTTTCAGTCTGTGGCTGTACCTACTGCTGAGAGGTTGGTTTGCAAGGTTTATAAGGTTTATATTGATGTTGGTTTAGATTTGACTGACAGTCAGGGCTGATATATTATATTATTAGGTGCCGACATAAAGAACCCGTCATTTTTTACAGGAAATTACAGACAACATATGGTGGGTAGGGTAAGGTAGGGTTGGGTAGGGTAGGGTAGGGTAGGGTTGGGTAGGGTAGGGTAGGGTAGGGTAGGGTAGGGTAGGGTAGGGTAGAGATTAATTTTGCGCATTTCAGTTGTAGCCTATCAGGGGAATGTCATCAAACTCTGCCACAAAACTTTAAAACCCTTCAAATTGTCATTGTCGAAACCATTGATGGCCGGATTCAGCGTCAGCTCGGGCGCAGGTCGATAAAACGCCGTGATCTTACGTCTCAGCCATTCCAAGACATATGGTTGCCTATTGGCGCACCTCTGCAAGTACCAGTACCAGGCAAGCCGAATATTAGTCAACAGCCAATTTGTGAAGAGCTAGGCCAGCTTTTGTTGGATATTGAGTTTGACCATCGGACCAAGGAGTTGGAGTTGAAGTGAGTTTAAATTTAAAAAAAAAATTTTTTATTAAAAAGCTCATCTAAAACTTCAAGCTTAGCCTTATTCTTGTTAGGTTTAGTATGCTTGGAATTAGTAAGCTTAGGATTAGTTAGTAAATCAGGCTTACCAGGCTTATTCTTAGTAGGATTAGCCTTAGTAGACTTAGGCTTAGTAGGCGAAGGTTTAGTAGGCTTGGGCTTAATAAGCTTAAACTTAATAGGCTTAGGCTTAGTAGGTGTAGGCTTACTAATAATTAGGCTTAGGCTTTGTACTCTTAGGTTTAGTTTATTTTACTATCCCATTTTTTTTTATTTTTACTACTTCCAAAGTATTTTTTTTACTTTAATCACCCCAAAATATTTTTTTTTTGTTTTACCACCCCCTCCCCCCAAAATATTTTTTTTACTTTTACCACCGCCGTAATCTATTTTTTGTTTTACCACCCCCCTAAAACATTTGTTTTTGTTTTACCATGCCCCAAAATGGTTTTTTTTTGCTTTTTTCTCTCTCCTTCCCTCCTCCCCCCCCCCTTCTTCCAAAAAAAATATTTGCTATGGTGCGAAGTGGTAGGGTAAGGCAGATTTAACGGTACAGTAGGGTAGTTTGAGGTAGGGTAGGGCGTTTTAACTGAATATCTTTTTATTAGGCTTTATTTGACCACTACTACATCTTATATGACTATTACTACGCTTTACAAGACCATTACTACGCCTTATATGACATCTTTACTCCATTATTCGTATTAAGAGTCATATTTCGGTCTTTCGCTAATCCATGAAAATTGAAGAAGAAGGTCAAGTTGGTTAATTTATGGCTTGTTTTCCATTAAAAAATGGAGACAAAATTACTTTTTATCACTTTGTTTAGTAGTTAATTGTCAGACGAAATATATACGACGGCTACGGTATGACACGAGGGTGGGGAATTAGTTTAAAAACGGTTTTAAAATTTGAAAAATTTAAGGCTTAGAAGTAAGGCTTAACATTTAAGATAGATTTTTAGGCTTAAAATTAATTTAATTGGCCGGAGATCGTTTTTTAGGCTTAAAAGTTGGTATTTAAGCATAAACTTGGTTTTTAGGCTTAAAAACAGGGTTTTTGGTTTAAAATTAGTTTTCAGGCTTCAAAATTTTTAGGCTTAAAAGACTTGTTATTCTTAGGCTTACTTTTGACTAAAGATTCATTTTAGACTTGGAATTTGTTTTACAGGGTGTCTCAAGAAATTTGCAGGGTTTTAAAAATTTTTTATTCAGCAATAAAAATCGCTATAGGTACCAAATTTGGTACAGCGATAGTAGAGCAAATATATATTTTGTATATAAAAATTTGGATTTTAAAAGTGCATTTTAAATTTTTTATGATTTTTTTTCTTGTGACACCCTGTAGTATCTAAAATAAGTAAAAGATTTTTTTTAAATTTAGGAGATTATTCAGTATTTTTAGCGTCTTCTCTCTAATTCATATTTTAATAAAACAGACAAAACTTTATTTTTCAAAATTCAATTCTGTTTGTTATCAAATTTAAAAATCTCTTATTAAAGAAATAATGACAAATTGGAACATAATTCAAATTTTTTTTGTTTTATCAAACTTTTATTATTAGATTTGTTCTTTCCTCAATTTTTAAAATTTAAAAAATTTAGACTTAGACTTATTCTTAGGCTTAAACCTATTCTTTTTTTTAGGCTTATTTAGTGTTTTGCCTGGACCGGTCCTTAGATTTTTTTTAGTCTGGGTCCGCAGGTTTTGGAGTTTGGTCCGCAAAAGTTTTCTTTAGGTCCGTCCGGTCCGGCAAAACACTGAACTTATACATAGACGTACCCTCATGCTTAAGTTTAGGCTTAGACTTATACTTAGGCTTAAACTTAGGCTTTCTCATTAAATTTAGGTTTTTGTTTAGGCTTAGAATCGGGCATATGCATAAACTTAGATTTAAAATCATGTTTAGGATTTGGTTTAAGCTTTAGGCCAAAAGTATTTTCCTTAGGTTAAGATTTATTCATAGACTTATATTTAGGCTTAATTTTTCAAAAGTTGAAGGTTTTTTTTGAATTTTTGAAATTTCAAACTTTTTTTTTTGATTTTGCTTGTGGTACAAAAGTTTTGTCGTTTTTTAATAGAACATAAAAGTAACCTAACGACAAGACTTTTCTAAAGTTCTTCAATTATCGATTTTTACAGTTTTTTTTTAAATTTGAAATTTTTTTTAATTTTCAAACTTTTACGACTATTTTAAAACCCTTTAAGACCTTAACTTAGATTTATTTATAAAAAAACTCGTGGTTTTTTATGACGTTTTCTTTAGTTTTACTTTGTTTTCGAAGCGTTTCGTCAAGGTGTTTAGTGTAATATTATTTGGGTGTTCCAAAAGTTTTGTCATTTTTTGTGATAAAAGTATGTTTTTTAATTGGGAAAAAGTTTTGGATTGGTTTTGTTACGTGGTGTTTTTAAAAAAATTATTGATTTGGTGAACTAAGGTTTTGGGCTGCGGCAGTTTTTGATATTGTTTTAGATCGGTCTTGGTGATTTGCGTGGGTTAAAGGGGTCATATATTGATGAAGGAATGAATTTTAGGCTTAATTTTTCAAAGGTAAAATATTAGCTTAAATTTAGTTAGCTCAGACTTAGGTTTAGGCTTAGGCTTGGGCATAGTAGGCTTAAGTTTAATAAGCTTAGACTTAAGTTGTTTGATCTTCTTATACTTAGAATTAACTTTAGGCTTAGGTTTAAGTTTAGGCTTACGCTTAAGTTTTCGTGTAATTTTACGCTTAAGTTGGGCTTTAGGCTTAAATTTAGGCTCATGCTTCGCCTTAATTTGATGCCCAGGAGAAGACAGTTTAGCCGTAGGCTTGAGCGTAATTAGCTTAGGCTTAGCACGCTCTAATTTTGCAGGTTTAAGCTTGAGTTTAGGTTTAGTAGGTTTAGGCTTACGTAAGCTAGGCTTAGCATCCTTATTTGTCTTCTTCTCTTACTCACCCCTCCCCCATTTATTTTATAGAAAGTTATAAATTTTCCCCCCCCCCCCCTTCCTCTTTACCTTCATATTATGTCTTTTCCTTCCCCCCCCTCCCCAGCCCCTCTTTTTATAAAAAGATAAATTTTAACCTCCCCCCCTCACAATTTCACTTAATGCCGCTCCCCTCCCCCCACCAATTTTGTAGTACTTACAAATTTCACCACCCCCTTCCCCTTCCTTTTCTATCTTCACTTATTTTTTCTCCTCCCCCCCCCCTCCTCTCATTTTATAGAAAGTTATAAATTTCACCCCCTCCACCTTCACTTAATGCCCCCTCCCTCTGCCCTCGTGGCCCCAAGTTTTCTTTTTGTTTCGGCGAAAAAAGTAATGTTATTTTATCTTTTTTTTTCGAAAGCTTATCACTTTTCCGGCCCTTATCACTGTCATTAGTTTGTGTCAGTCAAAAGAATGTTTTGGTCTCAAGTGTTTCGGCATTGCCAATCCGAAAGACTCAAATTCGAAAAAAATTTTCGAACTTTTGTTTCGTTTTTCAAATTATGGGGGTTTGGCTTATTAGTTCTGGAGCGGGGGGGGGGTTATTGTTAGGCTTAATATGATACATTGATAAAGCTTTTCTTACTACATTACTCTACCCCACCCTACCCTATTCTACCCTACCCTATTTAGACATGAGAAACGTGCCGGGCCTATTTTACAGGCCCGGCACGTTTAAAATTTTCCTCAGGGCCGGCTCGGCCAAACCCGACTTTTTTTACTTACAAACGGCCGGCTTTTTGAGGCGAGCTGGTTCTTTAGTTTGAGGCGTGGGACAACTTAAATTTGTGTTAAGGCCGAGCCGGGCCGGAAATTTATTCATGTTTGACCCTACCCTATTTTACCCTACCCTATCATGCCCTACCTTACTCTCTGCTTTTCCTTCTCAAGTAATGCTTGTATAATATTTACCCTAGGGATAAACATTTTTCTTCCGAAAACTATTTATGAGTGTTGATCTTCTTTATCTGATAGCTCAATAAACATGAATGACATCTTGTTTTTGTGTAAACAAAACTTTTTGGTTTAATCCTCGTTGGCTTGGCTAGGAAATGTGATATTTATAAGTTATATCTTAAGCTTAAGTTTTCAAGTTAAAGCTTATGTTAGGGCTAGGGTCACGTCTAGGGTACAGACTAGAGCTAGAGTTAGAGCTAGGGTCGGTGCAGGGCTAGGGCTCTGGGCTAGGGGTAGGGCTAGGGCTAGGGCTCTGGGCTAGGGCTCTGGGCTAGGGCTCTGGGCTAGGGCTCTGGGCTAGGGCTCTGGGCTAGGGCTCTGGGCTAGGGCTCTGGGCTAGGGCTCTGGGCTAGGGCTCTGGGCTAGGGCTCTGGGCTAGGGCTCTGGGCTAGGGCTCTGGGCTAGGGCTGGTGATAGGGCTCATACTAGGATCAGGGAAGGCTTGATGGCAAAACTAAGAGCAGGACCAGAACCCGGGCTAGGGCAGTGAGCGAACCCATTTCGGACCAAGACCCGGATTAATACCAGCAGTAGGGCTAGGAAAAGGGCTACGGTCGCTGGCAAAGCCATGCCAAAATTAGGACCAGCACGAGGGCTACCGGCCGGGAGGAAAGTCAGGACTAGGGGCTCGCTAGGACTAGAGCTAGCTACTTTTATTAATATTTTTTTTATTTTTGAGACCGATGTCTTGCCCTCCGATAACTTTTGGAAATCAAAAGTAAGGTGAAAAGCGATGGCCATATGGCCATTTTATTCAAATTCCCTCTCAAAAGTTTTATGGCCCGGCTGTCGCTCTAATCCGAATCTATTTCTAATTTTATTAATGAACTTGTTTACAATTGTTTCGCTGAATATTATTGGGGATTAGCGCTTTCCTGGCTTTCGGATGTGTTTTCTTATGTAAATCTTACAAATCTTATTGGGGCATATACATACATATATATATATATATATATGTATATATATATATATATCTGTTTATTGTCTTTTTGATCTGTTTATTGTCTTTTTGGCCGCGGTTTTGAAAAACATTGGCCTGTTTTATAATGTTTGTGGTTGTAATCAGTGCCGGGCGGGGTTTGAGGGCGGGGGTCGAAAAAATCGGCACAGGTAGGTAGCCACCTGTGCCGATTTTTTCGCAAAAAATGTTTTTTTAAAAGTCCACAGGGGGGACCACGTTCAAATTTTCTCAAAAAATTTTTTTTTGGGGGGGTTCCCCCCTCTTCCCCCTCCCTTCCCCCCCTCCCCCCCAGCGTCCGGCTGTAGTTGTAATTTTATTTTTTTATTTGAGGACAAGATGCAGCAGAGTTTGATAAGATACATACGTCATAGTATAGGTAAATGTAATAAGATACACGAAAACAAGAGTAGCAGTTACAAGAATCATATGAAGTAAAGTAAAATACGGTAAAACTGAAAAATTTATTTTAATTTTTGGGTAAGGTATGGCAGGGATTTTAAGTATAGGAAGGGTATTGCAAGAATTTTCATCTTTAATTAAAGTAAGATAGTGTAGATAGACTAATATAGAGCGTGTAGGGTATGTCGCAGTAGGGTAGGGTAGGGTAGAGCTGCTTTTTTCTGAAATTTAAAACTTTTTATGTTTTTATTGTACATTTTTTTTATTTTTATTTTTTTTTCTTTTCAGACTGCTAGACTGTACTCACTGGAATCGTTGGTCACCCCCTTGTTGTTCTTCTACCCTCCCCTCTACATCAACCTGCTCTTATCAAAAGAGTCAACGTTCCATATATTCGCAAAGCTCCTCTCCATACTCATCTCGTACTGACCTCAGTGTACCCAGATTCGAAGCCACGTTACCGTTACAGCATCCTCAACTTCTACATCATCGTTCTCTGCCTGGAGACTCGCTTTCAGCCGCCAATTCACCATTGTTACAGCCAAAAAAGAGGAATCTGGTTATTTCACCAAAATTGGGACCAAAATTCGAAAAGAATCTGAGCTTGCAAATTGGCCAAGATAGGAAACGGCATCCCTCGATTGGATCTCAACCTCTGCCACGACCTCAACCTGATCTGCCTCCACCCTTCGGCACTCCGGGTCGGTTTTTTTTCTTAATTTAAAAATATTAGGTTTTAAAAAATTATTTTTTTTTGTATTTTTGTTTTTAAATTTCTATTTTTATTTATATTTTTGCTTCTTTTTGTAATTTACCTTGATCCGCAGACTGCGGGTGACATGTTATACGACGGACGCTTTTGATCGTGTAACGTGTCAAAATAATAAAAAAAAACTAAAATTGAGTTTAGATTAAACGTAAAAGTATAATTATTGTGATTATTTTGTTTTATCGTATTTTACCTTGACTCGCAGCCTGCGGTTGACATGTTATACGATGGGCAGTTTTCATCGTATAACTTGTCAAAATTAACGAAATTTTGTATTAGGTTTATATTGGACGTAGAAAATTCTAAATTTTGTTTTCCATTTTGGTTTGTCGTATTTTACCTCATTTCGCAGCTTGCGGGTGACATGTTATACGGTGAAAACTTTTCATCGTACAACTTGTCAAACTTTGAAAACATTTAAGTTAGGCTTAGACTAGGCTTAGAAAATTATAATGATCCTGCAAATCTTGTTTCTTCGTATTTTACCTAGTTTTGCAGCTTGCGAATGACATGTTATACGATGAGCACGTTTTATCATATAACTTGTCAAACTTTGAAAACATTGAAGTTAGGCTTAGATTAGGCTTCGAAAATTATATTTTGCCAATCTTGGTTCATCGTATTTTACCTTGATCCTTGGTTCTTATAATTTTTATTGTACTATGTTGGAATTTACGTATTTTACCTTGATCCGCATCATGCGGGTGACATGTTACACGACGGACACGTCTCATCGTATAACTTAACGGTAAAAAAAATTTTTGAAAATGTATTTGTCTTGACCATAAAAGGCATATTTGTTAGCAGGGCCGGGCGCGAGGGGGGAGGAACGGAGGGGGGGGTACCCCCAGAAAAAAATTTTTGAAAAAAGTTGAACGTGGTCCCCCCTGTGGATTTTTGGACCCCTGCCCCCAGACCAAAAGTCCCCGCCCGGCCCTGTTTGTTAGCCAAATTTGCAATTAGCGTATTTTACCTTGATGCGCAGCCTGCGGGTGACATGTTATACGCTGGAAACGTTTCATTGTATAACTTAGTATTAAAGACCAATATCTATAATATTGTAAAACGAGTAGCTTAATAATGTTGTTATGTGTTATAAAACTAACATTCTTTAATACTTTTTTACTTCAGGTGCACCCCTCTACCTCATCGCCACCGTAATCACGGCACAGGGTCAGACGCCTATGAGAAAACTGCAAATTGTGGAACGACGCGGTCTAGAACCCGTGAAACTCGACTGTCACAGTGTTCTACCCTCTACCTCGACAACATACGAATGTCAGCCGGCTGTGGAAAAGTCCCCTACCTTGTGTATCAAAGTTTGTAGTGAGCCAGTCGTAGACGAAACGTCATGTTACGGTACCGTTCAGGTGGAATTGGATTCTCAAACCATGTTTCCGAAGGAGAACAGCCTCATTGGACCTAACTGGTTGGTTTTTATTTTTATTTTGGGGGTTGTTTTAACTTTTTGAGATTTAAAATTTTTTTAAAACTTGAAAAAATTTTAGAAGTTAGTGTTAGCATATGACTATAATACCATCTTTTATTTTATAAACTTTCTTTCACCACAATAATTCCCTTCTGCAGCCCGCGGTGACATTTTATACGACGAAAGCTTGCGTGTTAATGCAGGGCATGTTTTATCGTATAATTTGTCAATAAAATTAGAAAAAAATTATTTTGATGTCAATCTGGTCTTGTTATTCTCTTGTCGTCTTTAAAAGCTCGTTTTATTTGTAAACTAAAGCACTTTTTGTTTCTGCAGCCTGCGCAGACTATTTTATACGATGAAAGGTTGCCTGTTAATGTAAGGCAGCTTTTTGTTGTAAAATAGGAATGCAGTGAAGACTAGAAGGTTTTTAGCAGTTTTTGGAGTATTTTTGGTTTTTCAATATGTTATTTTTTAAATTTTCAAAGTTAAAAAATTTTTTTAAGACTGAATTTTTTTTGAAATTTGCGTTTTTTTTGATAGAATTATGATGGCAAAAGGTCTGTTTTATACTTTTAATCCATTTTAAACACAATCTGACTTTTTTTAACATCTATTTTTTAAATTTCGAACATTTTAAATTTTTATAAATTTGCGCTTTTTTTGATAGAATTATGGTGCCACAGGGTCTTTATCATGCCTGTTGTTAATTTTAAAGCTTATCTTACCTATTTTAACATTTTTTTTATTTTATAAAATTTAAAATTTTTGAATAAAAAATTTTTAATTTCGAAAAATTTTTTAAATTTTGATAAAAATTTCAAAATTGAAAACTTTTTGTCATAAATTAAGTCTGTCTCCTCTCAATATCACATGGGTGCTTAAATTAAATGGCCGTAATGTCTAGGTGGGCCAAGTATTGGCGCTTTTCTCCTCCGCAAAGGGCCGCCGATTTGGCCGTTTGGCCGGAGGGCTCGTTTCCGATTTCAATTAATCAAAAACGTTTCGATTTGGGGCGAGGGAATTTTGTTTCCATCACGGTTTGTTGCACTTTTCGCTTAACGGATCGACGCGAGAAACGAGTTTTGTCGCAATTTTCGATACGAATTTTACGCCGGAAGCTGGCTGCCGTTTTTTAATTTGCGGTTTTTAAAATGACCGTTTATGGCTAGTGGTTTTACTGTAACTAGTCAATATATGATAGTAAATTTTGTCATTTTTGTAATTTTTTAGGCTATTGAAGGGCAGTCAAAGAGGATGTAGTCGACCGTCAGCCTACAGGGTATGTAGGCTGATGGTCGCAACAGCTAGGGCAAATTAAACGTAAGGCAGGGTATTTTAAACTTAATTTTTAAAAATAGGCTTAACTTTGTAAGTTTAGGCATAGTTTTGTAAGCTGAGTCTAAGTTTTGTAAGCTTAGTTTAAGTTTTGAAAATTTCGGTTTAATTTTGTAAATTTAGGCTTAATTTTGAAAATTTAGCCTTAATTTTGGAAGTTCAGGCTTAGTTTTGGAAGCTTAGGGTTAGGTTTTGAAATTTAGATTTAATTTTGCAAATTTAGGCTTAACTTTGGAAGTTTAAGTTCAATTTGCAAGGTTCAGGCTTAATTTTGAAAGCTTAGGTTTTGTTTTGCAAGTTTAGGCTTGGTTTTTAAAATTTAAATCTTCTTATGGAGATCTAGTCTTAATTTCGGAAGTTTAGAGCCAATTTTGGAAATTTAGGTTTAATTTACGAAATTTAAGCTTAATTTTGGAAACTTGGGTTCATTTTTGGGATTTTAGGTTTAATTTTTAAAGTTTAGGCTTAATTTTTTAACTTTAGGTTTATATTTGGAAGTTTAGGCTTAATTTAGGATTTATTGCTTAATTTTGTACATTTAGGCTTAAGTTTGGATGTTTAGGTTTAATTGTGGAAGATTAATCTGAATTTAGGCTGACCGTTGTAAGTTTAGGCTTACTTTTGCAAATTTAGGCTAAATTTTTTAATTCTCAGCTTTTTAGGCTTATTTTGATTTTAAATGAAAGTCTAAGGTTCTTTTTTAATTTAAACTAAAGTCATGTTGACACAAACCTTTTTTGATGTGTAGGCGGGTCCTTGAGGTCGATTTCATGTTGTTTGAGGTTTCGGTTTCAAAAATTAAAATCCCTTCCGGTTTGACTTTGGCTTTTCTAAGCCTATTGAATGTCTTTCTTTTTGAAGTTTTTGTTTTTATTCTTTTTGGTTGTTTCTAAGCCTAAAAAGTGAGCATTAGGCTTGAAAATGAACGTTGGGTCTTTTGGACTCAAAACTGTTGAGGCTTCAAAACGATTTTTAGGCTTAAAAATAGTTCGTAGACTTAAAACTAGTTTTTAGGCTTAGAAGTTAGTTTTTTAGGCGTAAAACAACCCTTTTGGCTTAAGAATGGGCTTTAGGCATAAAAATTTTTAGGCTTAGAATTTGATTTTTAGGTTTATACTTAGTATTTAGGCTTAAAATTTACTTTTAGGCTTAGAATTTGGTTTTTAGGCTTAAAATTGTTTTTAGGTTTAAAAATTGGTTTTTAGGCTTAGAATTAATCGTTCGGCTTAGAAATTGGTTTTTATGTTTAAAAAACGATTTTAAGGTTTAGAAATTGGTTTTTAAGCTTAAAATTGTTTTTTGGGCTTAAAATTAAATCTTAGGCTTAGAATTTTGTTTTTAAACGTAAAAAATAGGCTTAAAAATTTTTCATAGCTTGGTTTGTAGGCTTAAAAATAAAAAAATTGAGTCTTAGGCTTATAGGAAGAAAACAGAGGAATCTGCTTAAAAACTGTCCCTATTCTTTAATTGTTTATAGACTGAAAAACCAACCTTTAGGCCAATAAACCATTCTAAACCCGTATGCCAAATCCCCAAAAAAAATATTTTTACGAACAGTTTATTTGGTCGTAATTTGTTTTACGACCGCTTTCCATCGGTTTTGTTTTGATTTTTGGGCCGATCGGAACAGAGCAGCACCGATCTTTTCTTTTTCCTCTCTCGTCACTCTCGACGCTTTTTGTTTTTGTGGCTCTTTTAGGTTGACACTCAAGGCTTTCGGCCGATTTTCAACCGATTTTTTTGGGGTTTTGGGCTGATTTTTTTTGGTAATTTTAGGGGTTTGGCTGGTTTTTTATGTTGTTTTAGGGGGTTTCAGCCGATTTTTGGCCGGCTTAGGTTTGGGTTAAGGCTACGTCTCAGGTTCAGACTTAACTTCAGGCTTAGGCTTGGAATTAGGCTTAGGCTTAGGATTAAGCGTAGGCTAAACCTTAGGCTTAGGTTTAGGCTTAGGCTTAGGCTTAGGCTTAGGCTTAGGCTTAGGCCTTGGCTGAGGCTGAGGCTCAGGCATAGGCTTAGGCTTAGGCTTAGGCTTAGGCTCAGGCTTAGGCTTAGGTGCAGCTTTGGGCTTAGGTTTAGATTTGGGCTTTGGCTTAGGCTTATGCATAGACTTAGGGTTAGGTTGAAGTCATCCCCAGTTTGAGGTGCAGGCTCAGGTTCAGTCTCAGGCACCGGCTCGGGTTTTGACTGACTCAGGCTCATACTCTGACTTAGGCTTACGCTAATGCTTAGTAGAGGTTTTTTTATAGTAAAATACGAAAATAATGAGTATTTTCTGCTGAAATGACTCAGAACATTACTATTTACAATTGACGTCTCTTATCAGTACAGCTTATTGTTTTATCAGCAATTTACATTTGGTTTTTTATAAGCTTTTCCTCAGGCATGATTGTTATTTTTAACTTGATATTTTTCCTTTTTCTTTTATTACAAATCCTTTTAACGGGGGCCACGTTCAAACTTTTAGAAAAAAATTTTTTTGCCCCCCCCCCCATTTTTTACCCCGCCGACTATCTATAATTTACCCCTTCGACTATCCATAACAGATTCCAATAAGACCAAAGTTAATTCGAAACCAGCGGAGGAGTGAGTGAATTTGCTTGCATAGTTAAAACATTTCATTTCCGGTCGGAACGTTCTCATGGCTTCGAGAAATTATGAGAAACAACTTTGTTTCCACACAAAACTATATTTAATTTACAGAATGTAAGGCTTAACATATTCTGTGATGTCTTATGAACATATTTTATTAAGATTCAGAGGAATTAAAGGCTAAAAATAGGGTAAAATGGCTGAAAATAGACGAAACAGCCGATATTGTAGTAATTAGGGGGTTTTTAGAAAACGATGTTTTGAGAAGTTGTGTTGGTGAAATGTATTGAGTTTGGTATTTTTGGATAGGAAAATAATAGTAGAATTTTAATGTCGAAAAATTTTTTTCAATTTGTTTTTCGTTTTTGAAAAAATTTAAAAAGTTTCAGTTTTTAGTTTAAATTTTATAAATTTTTTAGGACTTTTTTGAAATTGACTGGTCCTAAGTCGTTTTTTTAGTAAGTAGTAAAATGTTTTTTAAAGTTAAAACTATCTTTTCCACAAGCCTAAACCTCTTTACATCTTGTTCTTTTTTCCGAATTGCCCTTTGTTTGTACTTATGGCGGCTCACGAGCCGAAATAAAAACAAGATGGATCGTTTCTTTTTTCGTTTTTTTCTTCTACACTGTAATAACTTTTTTCAAAAGTTTTTTATGGAGTATGTGCACTTTAAAACGTACTATATGCTGTACATTGATTTAAATTTTTTGGACTTTTAGAAAGGAAGGTTTTTTGGGATTTTTTTTGATTTTTGAGAAAAAAGCAGCTCTCTGTGAATATTTTTTTCAAAAAATTTTTTTTTGTATTTTTGAAAAAGATGGTTATTTTAAGATTTTGATACAGCATTCTGAATGTTATGTACTGCTTTCTAGAAATTTTAAATTTAAAAAAATTTTTATTTTTTAAAAAAATCCACAGGGGGGACCAAGCTGATTTTATGAATTCAAAAAATCAACTTGGTCCCCCATGTGAACTTTTTTCAAAAAAATTTTTTTTGATTTTTTACTGCCCTACTGAGGTAGTAAGCTATCTCCACGATGACACATATACAAATAAACACAATGGTGTTTAGTCTGGCCCCGAAGAGCGCTCTTCACGAAGATTTTTGTGGAGGCGGAAAAGGAGATTTGGAAAATGGGGGTGGGGACCGAACATGTCAACTTGATTCCTATTTTTGGCTACCGGAGCTAATTGGCTTGGGACGGCGGTTTTTGAGAAAAAAAGTGGGGGGGTGGGACGAGGGCTTGTTTTTAATTTTTTTTAAATTAGTGTTCTGCTAGGGCTAGGGCTAAGGCTAAGGCAAAGGCAAGGGCAAAGGCTAAGGCTAAGGCTAAGGCTAAGGCTAACGCTTAGGCTAAGGCTAAGGCTAAGGCTAAGGCTAACGCTTAGGCTAAGGCTAAGGCTAAGGCTAAGGCTAAGGCTAACGCTTAGGCTAAGGCTAAGGCTAAGGCTAAGGCTAAGGCTAAGGTTAAGGTTAAGGTTAAGGCTAAGGCTAAGACTAAAGCTAAGGTTAATGCTATGGCCAAGGCTAGGGCTACAACTAGGTCTGTGGCTAAGGCTAAAACTAAGGCTAGGACTGAGCTTGACGCTAGGGCTCTGGTCTAGAACTAGGGCTAATATTGGGACCAAGGCTAGGGTCAGTGGCAGGGCCAGGACCTGAACAAGAGATAGGGCCGGAATACTAGGAACAGGACCAACGCTAGGGTCAGTCACAAAGCCAAGACAAGACTAGGACTAGTACTAGCATCAGAGCTAGGGCCAAATGCTTAGACTGGTTAGTTTTTAGGCTGAAGGCAGAGCCAGGGCCAAACCTAAGCCTAAGACTAGGGTAAAATTGTCCAAAAACAGCCAAAACTTTTCTTCCCACCACTTTTTTTATCTAATTTTTAGTTCCAAATTCCTACTGTTTTTGTTTGACTCATCTAATTTGCATTTTTTTCTATTTTTGCTTCTTTTCATGAGCCCAAAATAGGCATGTTTATGTGCGATTATACTAGTTTTTATCCCTAAAACATGTGGGGTTTTTGGTGTTATATTAAAATTCAATGGAGGGTTTGAAATTTTAAAGAGAATGTGGACTTTAAAAATATTTTTTATTTTTTTTAAATTAAAAAAAAATTTTGAAAAATTTTGCGAATAAAATCCACAAGGGGGGGGACCAAGCACAGACTTTCAAAAAAAAATTTTTTTTTCGGTTTTTAAAAATTTTAAATTAAAAACAATGTCACATGTATACCACTCTATTTATAAAGACGTATGAATTTAAATTTTTTTTTAATTTTGAAATTCTGAAAAATATTTTGTTGAAAAAAATTCACAGGGGGGACCAAGTCCAAATTTTTTGAAAATTTTTTTTTTATTTTTAAAAAATTTTAAATTAGAAAGTACTACATGTATACCAGTTTATGTATAAAGAAGTGTGGATTTAAAAAGTTTTGAAATTTGAAAAAAAAATGTGTTGGAAAAATCCACAGGGGGACCAAGCTCAGATTTTCAAAAAAAAATTTTTTTTTTGTTTTGAAGTTTTTTAACTATTTAAATTAGAGAAAATACTACATGTATGCCACTCTATGTATAATGACATATAAATTTAAAGTTTTTATCAATATTGAAATTTGAAAAAAAATTTTGTCAAAAATCTCCACAGGGGGGACCAAGTTCAAACTTTCAAAAAATTTTTTTTTGAAATTTTAAAAAATTTTAAATGTAAACGATACTACATGTACACCTCTCTATATACAGCCTATTCCTTGTTTTACCGGTGTTTTGGTTTTGTTTTTTTCGCGTTTTAAAAATAGAATAGGATTGGCCAAGCGTGGAGTGGAAGGCAGTGATGCGCACAACATGTTGTCATCTTTAGAAGTTGTCAACAATGTTGAACAGCTTTGTCACCACACCCACGTTGGCACGGGGAAATCTGGGGGTGAAATCTGGAAAAAATAGGAAAAAATTAAGATTGTACTATTATCAAATGGCAGAAAAGAGAGGAATTTGGGGCAATTTTAAGGGACCTTGGGGTCCGTTGAGAGTTTATGCCATTGTTTTTAGATATACAATTGAAAGTTGATAATTTTTGTTTTAGTACACTGTTGTTAGTACTATAGGGTATATCATACTTTAGTTTTGCTTTATTTGTTCAAGTCGTTTACTCAAAATGACATTTTTTGATTGTCCTTTTCATAGTTGAGAAATATTGATCATACCTCTTCTTTATGGTCGTATAAGGTATACAACTATCGTAGCTAATGTTATAGCCTGTTGGGTATACAATTCTGAAGGTCTTTCTTATTACTCTACAAAAATTTAGAAATTTTCACAATGTAGTTTATGAAAAATGACAGTTTTTGTTCAATGACTTATGAAAAGGGGGAAAAATTATTGGTCTTAACTGTTGTCTACAGTGGTATAACTATGTTTATATTGTAGATACTGCTTTTGTTTTTAATATCTAGACTTCTGAAGGTATTGGGCATGGTTGTTCAAAAGGTCAGAATTCTTCATGAAACCATAATATTGAAAATGGCATTTTTTGCTCACCGACTTATTAAAAGATGGGGAAAAATATCGCTCTTAACTATTGTCTACAGTGCTGTAGCTATGTTAACATTGTAGTTATTGTTTTTGTTTTTAATATCTAGACTTCTGAAGGTATTGGGCTTGGGTATGCAAAAAATCAGAATTTTTCATAGAATGATTTTATAAAAAATGGCATTTTTGTTGACCTACCCTAATGTGTTTCTTCTTTCTAAAATATGATTTTTTATTGTAAAATACGACTCGTCTACTCATTTTTAAATAAAGGTGTGACATATTTTATCAAAAACAATGCTTTCATAAGTGTGGAGTACCCCCTCTTTCAACTCCGCCCCAAGGATTTTAAAAAAAAGTTAAACATTGCCCATTTCGTGTAGGCCAATATTTTGTACATACAAACTATCTTTTGCACTACCATTTTGTACATATACACTTTTTACATATCCTTTTACATTCCCAACCTTCTCGCATTACTTTGAGTGCAGACTTCCGAGCCTATTACCATTATATTCCGACTTATTACATTCCCATGTAACGCATATTATTCCTTTCTCAGGAATTGCTTGGCCCAAAAAAGGCCCGAGGAGGAGGAGGGAGGGTGCGGGGGAGTATCAAAAAGAGGACAGTCAATTTAATGCAATTTCGAGCAAACAAAGTCTATCGCAAAAAAGATAAGGCCTTATGAACGAAGGGGAGGAAGGGGCGCACCGGTTCAGCCTGTTCATAGATCTTTGTTTTTAGGGCAGGAGGAGGGTTTTTTATGGTAGGTGGGGTAAATTTGAGGAAAGTGTTTTACTGAGGGTGGTTTTTGAAGATTTTGAAAAAATTTTTGAAATTAAAATTTTTTTGAAAAAATTTTTTTTTATTTTTTGTCTACCCTACCCTGCCTTACCCTATCCTGCCCTACCCTACCCTACCCTACCCTACCCCACCCTACTCTACCCTACGCTACTCTACCCTACCCTACCCTACCCTACCATAGTGCACCCTACCCTAACCTACGACGCCCTATCCTGCTCTACCCTAATTTACCCTACCCTACTTTACCCCCACCTTACACTACCTATTTTTACATATCCTATCGTGTCCTAAATTACCTTACTTTAACATGCCTAACCAAATTCTTCTCTACTCTACTTTGCATTTTGACATATCCTACATGCTCTGCATTATCCTGTTTTATAATACCTTTCTGGCTATTGTGTGTATTTCCCGTATTTTACCAAGCATAGCCTTAGTGCACTATACTTTATATACTTCTTCTATGTTCTAGACTATAGCATATGTAACTTGCCAAACCGTACTGTACCTCACTCTAAAACTAAAACTTTTCAATTGTTCAAAAAAAGTCAACAGGGTCCCCCTGTGGATTCTTTCCCGATGGGGACATAAAGAACCCGCCACTTTTTACAGGAAATTACAAGCAAAGTATGGCGGGTTCTTTATGTCGGCATCTAATAGAAACTTATTTTCGACTTTTTTGAAATTAAGCATTTTTGATATCTCTATCATACAAAAACTATAATTTTCATATTTCAAACAGTCTAAATCTGCATAAAACAAAATGTTTTAATCAAATTATGCCACAGTTTTTTAAAATTTCAAAAATTTATTCAATTTTCCAAGAATTGCGAGTGTTATGCAAGCGGAAACACGTTGAATTAGGGGGAGTTTTAATGCCTTATCTAATATTTATTTGACACTTGTTCCCATTTCCGGTGCTTTTTCAGTCCCAAAATTAATAAATTTATGATTTTTTGCGCAAAACATTGTCTTTTTTATGAAATGTCCAAAAAGTAATGGCATTTTTATGAAAATGCCTTAAAAGAAATGACATTTTTTATGAAATGTACCCCATAACTCCAAAAATTTTCTTGAAAAGGGGCGCAGAATTAAGTGAACGACCTAATAATAACTTTTTTTGAAATTTATTATTAAGATTTATTGGGTTTCGATGGCTTCTCTATGTCGTTTCGATCTGTTCTCTGCCTTTTTCTCGTTGTATTTTGAAGAATCCTGATGATAACATATACGGAGGTTGATACAGAATTAAGAAAAGGTGTCTGACGATTTGTTTTTGCCACTACAATTGGCAGTTTTGTTTTTGGTTTGTCTTCAAAAAGTGGTTTTTTGAAGATTTTTTTGAGGAAAAATAGGGTTTTTGAAAGTTTGTACTGTCTTACTGTAGATTTTTTGAAACAGTAGAAGAGTAAAAATTATAAAGTGGCAGTAGCAGGCTTAATAGCTTTAAATTAACCCTAGTAAGCGTGTCATAAAATATTTCTACAAAATATGTCATATTGGCTAGGTTATGACATTTTTTACTTTTTTGAAATTTTAAAATTCCAAAATTTGTGACGGCTAAACTAATTGTCATACAACCCTAAAAATTGTTATATAGACCTTCTAGGCTATCAGGAACACTTTTTTAGTTGACAACTTTTTGATTGGATTACCGTAAAATACTGTATTTAAAACAATCTTGTATATTTTACCGTAATTTTTGAAATAAAAGTTGTTTACAAGTTTGTAGATTCTTCAAACAACTTTGAAATTCTTGAAATTACTATTGCCAACACTCTCCGGGTAGCTTGTTATTTAAAAGTTGATTTAGAATTAATTGCCTTGGGGCATACAGGTGTTTGAATGGGCCAAAGACATATTATTTTACATTCTAGTGGGAATTAAAGGCGCGTTATATGTAAATAGGTATGTGGTATGGTTTTGAAACGTGCTATACGAACATTGTCTTATCTTAACTTACCCTATCGTACCGCACCCTACCCTACCCTACCCTACACTACCCTATCCTACCCTCCCGTAACCTACTTTACTGTACCGTACTGTATGCTACTCTACCTTGACCTACCGTGTCTTTGTCTACGGTAGTCCTACAAGGCCCTTTCTAACCTCCTATCGTACGTCAAAGTCTCAGAACTTTCGAACCACTTCAAGTTCTCCTCGAAAACCCTTAATTAGCGTACAAAAATAGGTAATAACGTTACGGCCGACGGCGTATTACCTTGTTGATTACAGCACAGTAATTAAAATGTCATTTTCCACTCGAAGCCACGCCCATTTCCGGCGTTACACTTTTATTTGGGCTCGGATTTTGTCGTTTTTTGGGTGTTTTTCCAAAGTTTTCTTGTTAAAATGTGCAAAACACACTTTGTTTTTAGCCCTATAGTGGGTTAATAGTGTTTATTGTTGTGGCAGATTATGGGAAGTCAGGTTTTTGATACCTACAAGAGTTTTAGGACTTGTTTTTGATACCTAAAAATGTTTAAGGACTTGTTTTTGGTACCTGAAAAGGTTCGAGGATTTGTTGTGATACCTAGAATTGTTTTAGAATTTGTTGTTTATATCAAAAAGGTTGTTTTAGTTTCAATATGGTGGAAAAAATGAAAAAAAAACATTAGAATGGGCTGTTTTGACGCGTTGCGAAGCCTTTTGTAGGACCTTACTGTAGATTTTCAAAAACAGTAGAAAGCGCAGTTTGCTAATTTTCTTCGGCATTAATCACAGTCTGCAGTTATTTGTCTCAAAACTCGGTCTTAGCAAGCTTTTACTGCCATTTCTAATAACATACAGCCTTTACTGCAATTTTTAATAACCTACAATAAAAATATGTAATATATGTTATACTACTTCCTTCTCCCTCCTCCTACTCTTTTGCTCGCACCAAAAAACAATGGAATGTTGGCGAATTGTGACTTCCGGTCGTTTTCCAAAAGATAAGCGCGGATTGCCCGGAACCGGCTCCGGAAATGGCCCCGGCTTTGTTTTATTCGCGGTTTTTTTCTCCGCCCGATGCAATTAATTGCTCTTCTGGCCACCTTCTCTTCGATTATTCCGAAATTCCTGCCATTTCCACTCTTCTTTGTTATACTAGGCGTTTTTTACAACTTAGGGGAGGATTTTGAGGTTTTTTGATGATATTTTATAAAAATTTTCGTTTTTAAAAATTTTTTGATAAACCAAAATTTTTTGATTTTTTTGATAAAATTTGGTTTGCTAATCCATTTTCTTCGTATTGAATCTATTTTTGACATTTTGCTTCTCATGACTTTAATATTCTGCACTGTGCAATCATTTTTTTAAAAATTTTAAATTTCAAACGAAATTTTAAAAATATTGAAATTTTGAAAACAAGTTTTAAAAACATAAGTATTTTTACGTCTACCCTTATAAGACTGACTGTTTTTATAACTTTTATCAGCAGATATAGTCAAAAAACGTTTTACATTCTGCACAGTGCAGTTTTTTTTAAATTTCAATTTTTTTTAAAAAATAATATTAAAATTATGAGAAACTAATGATTAAAAACTTATTTTACGCTTTGTTAACATCATTTTTACCTATAATTCTATCAATATCCAATCAAAACCACAATTCAATAACTTTTTGACACTTCGTCTAAAAGTCGAATAAATCGTTGGCTTTTCGTGCTCTTTGATTGTTTGATAAATATTTTTTGAAAGATTGACATTTTTCCTCAATCAAACTTACATTTTTGACATTTTTCCGGGTTTTATGTCTTTGTTATGAGCCTTTACAGTCAAATGACACAAATTGCGATAAATTTTTGTTGATATTCTAATTCTTTTGGGACGAAAAACTTTACTTCCTATTTTGAAATGATGTTTTATTGATAGCTCTTTGAAATTTTAGCTTTTTTGATAATATTTCGATGAGTTTATATCGATTTAGTTTTTTTAAAAAGTCACTTTTGGTTTAACTTTGAATTTTTTAAAAGGGACAAGATTTTAGGTATGTCATGGTTAATATCGCGTTTCTACCTATTTTTTGGCTGATTTTCAAAGTGTTTGGTTAAAAATATGTTTTACCACATTTATAGCTACTTTTTACTGTATAGTTTAGTGCATTTAGTTATGTTTTACACAGGCTATTAAAAGTTATTTAAAAACTTTGAATCTTTTTTAGCGTTTTTCACTGAAAGTTGGACTTTTCTTTATGACATTAGATGTATATCTATTTTAATTTGGCTTTAAAATTTGTAGAAAGTCTATACAAACATTTTAATGTTCATTTTGGATTATTTACGATTCATTTAGACGTTTTAGAGCGATATTATTGTAGGTATAGGTGCCTCATCGGGAAAATTTGCGGTTTTGCCAAAGTTTTTTTAAATTTTTGAGGAATTTTTGTTTGAATAGTATGAATAGCTTTTACTTTATCTTATATTGTTTAATTTGTTAATTTTTTTTGTTTGAGTTGTTAAACATGACAAATATTGTTGTAGGTACCTCACCATAATGGGCTTGGGAAAAAATTGATTTTTTCGAAAGTTTTATATATTATAGAACATTTCATTGTTATTATAGATTGAATAATCTTTACTGTATGCATTTTTGTATTGAAATTTATGTTTTAATTCAAAATTATCAAACTAATCAATATTCTTGTAGGTATTCGGTCAAATCACGTTCCACACTCACAGTTCCGAGCATAACGGCTCAAACCACGCCGAAAAAAACATCGACGACGACGGTCACCACGGGTACAGCGTCATCCAAGTCCTCGACCGCTTCATCATCGGCTTCGTCCACCGGCTCGGCGCCGGACTCGGATTCGTTGCGAAAAAAGTCGAAGCAGTCGGACGAGCGGCAAGTGGGCGAGATGCGGCTTCGTTTGTGGTACTCGCTGGACGAAGTACTACCACTATGTCATTACGAGCAGCTCTACACGGCGTTGATCGCGTCCCTAAACCAACAACCTCACTCAACGTCGATGGTCACCCTGATGCAAGCGTTGAATATTGACATGGAGACGATAGCACGACCCTTGATGAAGATATTCATTCATGCGAAACAGATTCGCACCTTTTTTCGACTGACTTGTGTGGACTACTTGTCTGGGTGTCATGATGTAAATACTTTGTTTCGATCCCAGTCAATGTGCTCCAAAGTCATGTACGAGTTGATGAAGTTTGTGGGTCAGGAGTACCTGAAAGTGTCGTTGAAACCTTTGATTGATCTCATTTATGCGGAGAGGCGGTGCTGCGAAATCGACCCTTCCAAGTTGAAGCCGGGAGATATGGTGGATCAGAATCTGGTAAGATTTTGTTATTTTTGATCTTGTTTTTTGTAGGTATAGGGATCAATTGGTCTTTGAGGATAGTTTTTGATGTACCAAAGTTATTTCGCTAAAAACAATTTGTTTTATGATAAACATTATCATTAGGGTTTTTACTATTTATTTTGTATACAATAGTATTCATTTTTATCCACATTTTTGAGTTTTACTGAATTTTCTTGTGGGTATAACCACTTTCAATTCAATTTTCTAATTTTTATCATTACAACCCAACTTTTTTAGCGAAACATCATGGTTTACGCAGAACTAGCCTTCAGTCGTGTCGTAGACTCATGGCATCGATGTCCTCAAATGTTGTGTGAAGTCTTCTCGGAGCTGCGATCAGTTGTGTCCGAGTTTTTCCCTGGCCGAGAAGATATTGGTCGGTTGGCATTGTCGTCGTTTTTAATCATGCGGTTCTTTGCTGCTGCGATTTTAAACCCAAAATTGTATGGCCTGAGGAAGGAAGCACCTGTAAGAGTTTGGAATTTTGATTTTGAGGGGATCTGTTGCCTAAAATGTGTATTTTTGTTAGGTTTGTCAGCTAAAATGAAGTTTTTTGGGGTTTTTTTGGATTTTTCAAAATTTTTTAGCTTGGAAATTGATTTTTAAAGGATTCTGTTACCTAATCTATTGAGTTTCGTATTTTTTAGTATATGTTTTCCTCGTTTCTTACCTAAAACTTTAAATTTTGGCCGTTTTTTATCAATATTTTCCAGTTTTTGCCATTTTAAAATATTATTCATGACTAATCTCCCCATTTTCAGGAAGCCAACGTCTCCCGAACCCTGGTATTGATCTCAAAAGTCCTCCAAAGGCTAGCCAATTGCGTAGTCTCCCAAAACCCATTAACAACGAAAGAACAATGGTTAACACCGGTCCTGGAGCGATTATCAGACGAAGAGCACAAAAAGGCCATGATCACCTTCCTCGACTCAGTCAGCCACTGTGAAGAGGTCGAGAATCCGCCATCATCGTCAGGCTCCGAAAAATCGACCACAACCGGGCTGTCGAGCCAACTGACCGCCGAAGCGCCGATATTACTGAAGACGGGCTACATGGTGGAGCGACGAGCCGGCAGTGATAAGAAGCGGAGTTTCAAAAACTTTATTCATCAAAAGCGCCGCTACGTCACGCTGACGGAGACTGAGTTGAGTTGGCAGAAGGTGAAGGAGGCCGGCTCCACCGACGGTAAAATCCCCCTCGAACCGAAGGGCATCTTTACATTGGCTGAAATCACATCCGTCTCACCGCTGACCGACTCGAAACACTCGTTTTGTGTAGCCACGGCAGTGGCCGAAGTCCACTTCCAGGCTAGTAGCCTGAGCGAAATGAACGAATGGATGATTGTGATTCAGAAGCAACAACGACGACACATGATGCTGGCCAGCCGACCCTACAATCAAGCCGACAGAATACCTGAAGTGGACCTGGAAAGGGAGTTGGCATTGATTCACAACACACTACAAAAGAACATTGATAAGCTCTGCGGATGGAAGGAGAGCTTGGAGTAGGGAGGGGTAATATATCTATATATATATATATATATGTTATATATATGATATATAAGTTATATATGTATATGTTATATATATATATATACTAGAAGAAGGATCATATATTAAGTATAGAAGATGGATAATATTAATATAGAGTAGTAGAAGGATAATATGAGCTTGAAAAGGTCGGGAGCTTGAAATATTGTAGTTTGTGAATTGTAAGGCGATCGAGGAGGTAAAAAGGCTTCAGAATCTTTTTTACTTTGTTGTTAGTTAATTTTTGATCTTGTTCGGTAATGTAATGTAAATTTACCTTACTATAGACGTTAAAATTGATTTTTTTTTTAAATTTTTTGACTTTTTCACATCTGAAGCCTCTTCTTTCTAATCCGAAGCCAAATACCCTCAAATGTTATTATTGTGCATGTTATATCGAAGCATATATTAATTTTTACATGGTTGTGAATACCAATCTTTTATTGTTTTAAATACGGGCATATTTGTTGGATCAAATCTTTCACATTTTTATTGTTTGTTATTTTTTTAATAAATATAATTAACAAACCGGATTGGTTGGTATAATTTTAATTCCAAGTTAAAATACGTTGAGCTGCACATGATCTCATTGAAAGATCGCGCAGCCTGCGGGTGACATCTTATACGACAAAACTAAAGAGTAATCCTCAAATTTGAGCTTGACAAATAAAGTACCTTGAAAATTTGTTAAATTCATTTTTATAACTTAGTTTGTAAGTTAGTAAAATTAGATTTGTCATTTCTCTTTAAAATCAAGATGTACAGCCTGCGGGTGACATCTTATACGACAAATAACGGAACATACCGTAAGTTCTTTTAAAGTTCACTGCTATTAAAAACAGTATTATAAAGAAAATATAAAGCACAATTTTCATTCCTACACTTTTTAAAATTAATTTTTCATCATTTGACAAATTTACAAAGAAACCAAAATTTCCATCGATTATGCAAATTTCATGACCTCAGCTGGCCGTGCCCACCTGCCGACATGACCTCGTCTCGGAATGGGCATTCGAATTGCCGAGAAATGCGACATAAGCATTCCCCCACCCCTCACCACATCAAATTTCCTTTTGCGTCGCGAGGGCGTCGCTGGCTTTTGCCTCACCCGAAACAGGGTATTCGCCGTTTTCTCCTCCTTTCCCCCTTCCCTCGGCTTCTGATCAATGCGAATGGACCCGAATTTGTGACAAAATTTTGTATTACAACATCTTTCGACGCTTCCCGACATAATTTTGTTTTGATCGACTGGTTTTGGCGATTTTTGACAAAGTTTTGGCATCTGGAGGCTGGTTTTCAACGAGTTGAAGCGGATTTTGCCTTGATCTGGCCCGTTTTCAAACCTTGAGGAATTTTATCTCGTTTTGAACTTACTAAAGCTTATTTTCTAAATTGCTTCACCGTTTTTCATCAACTTAAATCTATCTCTGTTGATTTTGACTTGATTTTGGACCTTGAAAACTGATTCGACAGATTTTTGTCCTGCTGATCCCTTATTTGATTGGTTAACAACATTGTGAAGTGCCAGTTGGTGTATTTTACATAATCGACATATTTGGACCTTGATCTAACCATTACAATTTAATTTGAAGCCAAACGGTAAGTATTTTCTTTTGTTTCCCGATTTTAGGTAACGAAAAGCTATGGCAGATGGCGATGCTTGATTTTTTGATGTTTAGGTAACAAAACATTAATATCTAAATTTTAAAGTACCATTTAACATTAAATGGATTACATTATAATCAGCCGTTACTTACTTTCAGCATTAAAACATCTAACAACAGCAATTTACTTCATCGACCCCATCTAACTGATATTCACCATCTTATTTTGAAACTCACTGCTTTTATAAGCTTTTACATCGAGTGATCTGACAAAACTTTTATTGAAAAAGTTGAAGACGAGACTTCCGAAGCTTTTACAATTAATTTTAAAACGTTTGAGCTTGGGTTTGACCAAGAATATTCACCAGAACATTGGTGAACATTGATTTTCGGCGAGATGGGTGCGATGGTTCATAATTACCATATTGGGAATACGATTGGTATTGGGGCGTATGGAGTATGTTTATATTGTTTTTGAGACATTGCTTAACTTTGTTTTCAGCGGGTCTACGAATGTACTGATTCTGAAACTCAACGACGGGTAAGTCTTACGCTTTCTTTTTTCTTGTTATAGGTATACAAAGGTCTTAACTATATTCCTGCATCAAAATTTTCACTATAATCTTAACGATATTACTTTAAGAATAAATTGAAACCTGTTGATACCTAAAATCCTAAAATGAGGTTTTTAAACGTCTTTGATAAAATCTTTCTTTTAGTTGGTGATGAAGGTTACACGAATAGAGACACATCACGATGGGTTACCGCAAGAAGTTTTGAGGGAGCTATCGGCCTTACATATGCTATCTGGTCATCGGAGGATTGTCAAGTAAGTTAATGTCATCCTTTACATTGTTTAATAAATTGAGGTTTTTTACAGTATGTCGTCGCAGTAGTAAAATTTAGACTTAAACAGTTCTTTTATTCTTTGTTTATGCTATTTTTTGACTACTATCATATTTATGTCTTCATTTTATATTAACCATGCTATTTAGAATGTACGACGCGTTCATAACCGGAGATACGGTGAAGAATGTCCGGATTGTGTTTGAAAGATGTGATTTCGATCTGAGCAAGTTCTTAGCACTATTAAAACCCGAAGAAGTTATGCCGGAGGTTCAGTGCAAACATTTTGGAAGACAGGTACTGTAATATTGAACTACTTCTGATTTCATTACTATGAAATTTCAGATTCTAGAAGGAGTCGAATTTTTGCATTCAGAAGGCGTGATTCACCGTGATTTGAAGCCTCAAAACATATTGGTGAACCGAGACTTTAACATTAAATTGACCGACTTTGGGTTAGCTAGGACGTACGCTCTTCATGCTTCATATACACCTAGGGTAAGTCGATTTTTTGAAAAGTGTTTTTACAATATTGTAAAGCAGTATTTTATGTTGGTAGTTCTTAAATTTTATTAAAATCAAATTTTTTTTACAGTAGTTACAGCGATATTAAGATTACCATATCAAGGTGTCTAGTTTAATATCGAAAAAATCATCATAAATTGCTCATTTTTATCTTGATAATCATTCTTTTGGATATGTTAGAAAGACGATAATATTAATCATTTTCAGACTGTAACCTTATGGTACCGAGCGCCGGAAGTGCTGCTACAATGTAAATATAACACGTCGTTGGACATCTGGTCGGTTGGTTGTATCGTCGCCGAATTGTTCAATAGGAAACCCTTGTTTCCAGGTGAAACTGAAACAAAACAAATCAATTTGATATTTCAGTAAGTTTTGGACTCAGTTGCTTGAAGGAAACATAAGATTAGTTATATTTTGAATTATGTCGTAGTAGGTGTGTTGGTGGGAGTTTTTGGTCAATATTTAAGCTTTTTTGGGAGATTTTGGTAACATTGTGGTTAAAATAGATAAAAGAGAGTGTAAAGATGGTGGTCCGAAAGTTTTAGGACGTTTGATAAGCTGGTAAAACAGTTATAGAGTTATAGAGAAAAAAATGTTGAGTCAACTGGGGTTCTCTAAGGTTTCTGGTCGATATTCGCATATTTTTTGAGAATTATTTTTTACTGTATGTTTTGTAGGGTAAATCAGAGTACAGAAAACGTTATTCTGAAGTGTTGAGACGTTTGATATAGTTATAAAAAAGTTACGGTCCAAAAACTACAGGTATTGACAATTGGACGTCATGGTTAATATAAATTTGCTTTTTAACCTCAAGTTTTTAACAAAGTTTCATAATATTCAACAACACTGTTAACAATAAACTAGCTAATACTTATGCAAACTTTCAGAAAGATCGGAACGCCCAGTCCGACGGATTGGCCAATGGATGCGATAGTGGATGTTCACCAATTCCCTTATCATCGACCGGCCGAACGATTCGTCGATGACCGAAGAATGTCACAACAAGGTCATCAACTGCTGAATCAAATGCTACAGTTTCTACCGCTGAGCCGACCAACCGCTACCGAATGCTTGGCAGATTACTTTAAGCAATAGGGTTACTGTATTTCGAGCTGGTACAGAAGTTTATACTCGGGTACTGTGAGCCAAATTGAACGTACTAGTGAGGAAAAACGTTGAACAGAATGAGTTTTTGGACAAATTTAATCATGTTTGTGGCCATATTTTGTTTTTTTTGTAAAAAATATTGTTTGGTACAGTTGGTACAACTGGTCTTTCTAGTACTATATTGCTATTGCATGGTTCTTTTTTGTACTTTTTCAGTATAGTATAGTTGATTGAGAATACTAATTCACTGTATTGTAGATTTTAGGTACTTTAGGCCTAATTATGCTTAAAAATACATTTCTTGTGTATCAACATAACCTATATTAATATAATATCGTATCTTATTGTAACTTTCTTCTATATTTAATTTTTTTATATTATATTTTTTTTACAATTTTAAACACTTCCTTTTTCTGATACAGGTCTTTCAGATTTTTGATTCTCAATCCAAAAAAAAGTAATAACAAATGTAATATGTCATGGTAAATTGTAATATAATTTTAATACAACAATAAAATTTTTTGTTTTTCTGGCTTTGTATATGTGGATTTTGATCTTCCATTCACAAAAGCTTTTTGAAAAAGAAGGTATAGCTTACAATTAGAAAGGGCAACTGCAGCCTGCGGGGGACATGTTATACGATGACTCTGTTTTTAATGAAAATATATTATAATTTTAAAACGAACCGTTGCAATAGCGTGAAACTTTGTGAAAACTATTATAAAACACTACTTTTAACTATGTATAATATACTTTGTCATTTCCAAGCTTCGCAAGCAATTTATGCATTGTGCAGCCTGCGAGTGACAAGTTATACGACAAAAAAAATGCCCCAACATTAGGTAAATATTAAAACCGTTAAGAAACAGTAATACTAAGAATATAAATATCGTCAGACAACTCAATAATAACTTTATTAAACAATGAAACAACAAAAACACCAAAAAAATAAAAAATGAGTATTTTAGGTAACAAAAATATGTAAAACTGAGAAAATATTAAAAACAATAAAAGCACAAACAAAACAAATAACAACAATCTGATTAAAAAATATATGAGTTTAAGGCTATATTAAAGAATTTAAAAAGTTTTGTCGGTTATTTCTATGTATTTCTTTGTTTAAAAACGACACTTTTTAATTTTAATATAAAGGTAATGAGAACTTTAAAAGAAGTATAATATAGACCTATAACATGAGTATTAAATGAAAATATTAAATGATGATTAAACAAACAATATTAAATTATATTAAATTGCTCAAATAATTCTGTGCCCCCTCTCAAAAAAAATTTTTTGATGTTAGAGAGCACATAATTACTTGAACAAACAAATATTAGTTAACATAACAATAAAAAATTACTTTTACAATTATAACTTACCTGTCCCAAGATTGAATCGGGTTCAACCTGAAATACCCATTAATAATATTGCCATAGCATTTCACAACACAATCTTGCGTCGCCGTTACCCATACAACCTTTCCTTTTCGAGAACTTTCATATTGATGTAGATCATTGCCCATTAAGAACTTGTCCAGATTTTGTTTATCTTTCAGATCGGGGAAAACCGACTGGTCGAAGCGGAGAAGATTAGTATAAGTCGGGAAGAACGGTGGAACGTTGATGGCACAGGATTCAATGTCACCGTCCTTGAAGAAAATTTTGATCGGTTCGAATGGATCATTGCATCTGACCACAAGATTCTGAATGCTTTGGACAAATCCTTCGGTTGCTGAGTCTTGAAGGTCAATATAGATCTCGGTAATACCTAAAATGAAAGAAAAATTAATCTAAAAGCAAGAAAAAATATTGGTTTTAATATTTTTTATGAAAAACTACTGATTTTTTGATAAAATATCTAAAAAAAAACCATGTTTTTCACCGAAAACAATATAAAACTGCCATTATTTATCAGTTACTAATGCCCAAAATTAGGAAACATCAAGTCAAAGTCATAATAAATCGTATTTTAATGTCGTTTTTACAAAAACAGCCCTTATTTCACTAAAAACAACCTTTAAAACACGCCTTTTCACCTACAACAATATAAGTTAAACCAGAAATCCTCAATTTTTCAAAAAAATAAAAGAACTACCATTCAAACAATCCAATATCTTGCTGATACCTTCATACTGATGCTTTGGGTAGTTTTTCTTCTTTCCGTGGATATAAACCTTAGACGGATGAATCAATCCAACATTGATCATCTGAACCCAGGTCTGAATCTTCCTGATAATTCTGTGGCCACACATGCTTTTGGAACAATTACAGAGTTTCTTGCTCAAACAGATCTTATGCTTGTTCATATCGATGTTGAGCACACGACTGTTGTTGAAGTGGAACCGAACTGCTGAGAAGTAGTAGTTGTTGATCATCTACAACAATATCAGTTAAAAAAGAAAGTTTATTACACGTTCTTGCAAGAAAATTCTTAAAATAAAACTAAATCATGATAAAATATGTCCAAAAACAAATTTTTAAAGATGTTACACAACATTTCAACTTCGTAACGCCTTTCTAAAGCTTGTTCATGCCTAAAACAAGAAAAACAAAGGATATAAAGCAAATTACAGCAACAGTCTTGATCTGATTAATGTTCAATGACTTTAACACCTTGCCCAGTGCTTTGCCTGATAAACGCGGACGAGTGCAACGACTACGATCCATGAGATACTGACGTTCTGGCTCTAAAACAACATTGTTTTACCAAAATTGCCGGAAATCCCCGAATTTTTTAAAAATAAATAAAATTTTTATGAAAACGCTACCTGGATATTGTTTACACAAGTTGTTACCCATATTTAATATAGTAAAGAATAATTATATTTCTTAATGTGGCCAATCTTGTTATACAAAACCTTTTTTATTCAATTTTCTAATTTTTCGTATAACATTGTCATTCGTAGGCTGCGGCCGAACTTCCGTCGTTCTTTTGGTCGTTTTTTTCTCAACTTGTTGATTTTTCATTTAATAAAGTTGTTGTTGTAAACAAAATGGGCAATGTTACGTTCAGAGATTATCCAGGTAACTGTTTCTGGCCTTTTAATTACAATTTTTCTATAATTTGTGAAATTTGGATTACAATAAGGTAATTTTTGGTTTTCAGCTTCGAAACGACAATATTATCGAGACCGTACTCGCTGTACTCGTCCTCGATTAGGAGGAGAAGCTTTTGAAAAGGTCTTGGAAACTTTGAACATTCATCAGGTCAAGACTGTTGCTGTAAGTTGGTTTATGTTTGTCTTTTTTGTTGTTTTAGGCATGGAATAGTTGTAGAAAGGAGTTACGAGGGTTAAAAGTTGTGTAAAGTGTTTCAAAAGAAGTGTCTGGCATTGGTTTATTAAAGCTAAACTTCTTCTATATTTAATTTTAGAAATCTTTTTTGAAAAAGGCAATTTTTCACGTAATATTGTTTTAGATGATCAACAAGCACTATTTCAACGCGGTAAGACAGTATTTCCTGGATTTTCCCACTCTCAGCATTGATTTGGACAAGCACAAGATATGCCTATCGAGGAGGCCTTGCAACTGCTCTAAAAGTATGTGTGGTCACAGAGTTATCAGGAAGATTCAAACCTGGGTTGATCTGATCAAGGTTGGACTTGTTGATATTGACAAAATCTATATTCATGGAAAGCGGGTTGGATATGTTTTTCAACAGTATAAAGGTATCAACAAGATTATGGGGAACTTGAATCGTAAGTATATTTTGGTTTCTTTGAGGAATTTTAAGGTTTTCGGCTATGTTCATATTGTTTTAGGTGGAAACGTGTGTTTTAAAGGTTGTTTTTAGTGAAGTAAGGGCAGTTTTTGTAAAAACATAATTAAAATACGATTAATTATGGTTTTGACCTGATGTTATTAAATGTTAGCTGTCCTTAATTGATGAATAATGGCAGTTTCATATAGCTTTAGGTGAAAAAACGTTTGTTTTTGGCCATATTTTACCTGAAAATATTTAGTTTTTGATCAGAAATTATGGATAAACTAGCTTTTCTTGATTCTATGTTAACTTTCCTTTAATTTTAGGTGTTATCGAGGTCTATATTGACCTTCAAGACTCAGCAACTGGAGGATTTTTCCAAAGCATTCACAATCTTGTCGTCAGATGCAATAACCCAGGGAAACCGATGGTGATCTTTTTCAAGAACGGTGACATTGACTCTTGCCCTATCAACGTTCCACCGTTCCTTCCAACTTATACCAATCTTCTCCGCTTCGACCAGTCGGTTTTTCCAGAAGTTTCTGATGGCAAATTGAACAAATTCTTATTGGACAACGATCTACATCAATATAATGTGGCGGAAAGACGTCGTCAGGCTAGACTAGCGGCAATGAGAGAGCAAGAATGGGTTTTTGGTGTTGAATTTAATTTTGACAATCTTGGCGCTATGGACTTTGCTGATGATGTAAGTGTTGATGGTGATCAGCTGTTTGATGAAGACGATGTGGTTGAGGAAATGCTCATGAGGTTTGAGGACGAGATGGTGGAGATGGAGCCTGATGATTTTGACGATATGCTGTTCTTCCACTGATGATTTTGAGGATATGTTGTTCTACTGATGATGTGATGTTTTATATTGTTTTACGGATATTTGTGTTGCCAAAGCGTTGTTTTATGTTATCCTACGTTGTTATATGAACCTTTTGCGCTATACATATTGTTGGTGCACGTAATTTTTTCGTTTAATGTAAAGTGTAAAAAATGTGATGTATTGTAAAAAAATTGTTATATTGTCAATGTAATATGTGCTTCAATTGAAAATAATAAATTTTACAAACGGACAAGTATTTAAAATTAAAATAAAAAACCACAAAACCAATATTGTGTATATATTTAGGTTATAGCAAGATACAAAAGCTATTTTAAAATTACAAATAACGTAATGCCTGGCGAGTTCATCGTATAAACTAGCTGCGCAGCCTGCGAATCTTATTTGAATGGCTTGTACGCAGTTCGCGAAACAAAATATTTATTTCGCCATTTTATTCTTAAGAAGATCTTGCTTTCTAATGTATTTTTTTATAATTTAGCTTGTTTTACATTAAAACATTTACGTTTTTTGATATAAGACATCGAGCTTTCTTTATTTTACTTTTCTCTCATTGTATAAACGATTTATCTTACAATATAACACATTTTAGGCATAAACATGGCCAATTTACCGGTTTCTTCACTTTTAAAACAAGGATCAGCTGGAGGGGAAGAGTTTGATCAAAGAAGGACGAAAGATGACTACAGAAAGCAGAAGGATTTGGAGGAACAACGAAAAGCAGGTACAGCTCCAGCTATGGTTGATATTGAAACTGGACGTGATATTAATCCGCATATTCCTGAGTTTATTGAGAAAACACCGTGGTATGTTCCACATGATGGTCCGACGCTTCAGGTACGTTTTTTAATTTGTTTTTTTGATTTTAGGTTGAATTTGGAGGAGAATTGTTGATGTAGGTATCTGGTTACGAGGTTTTGGTCGATATTTTGAGTTAAGCTTGGGGGTTTTTAGAACTTGTTGTTCGATTAGGATAAATAATGAGTTTAAGATACTTTGAAAACGTTTTTTGGACGTTTTTATGGTATAATAAAGTAGAAATGTTAAGGTATAATAACTAAAATATTTAGATCAAAAATTATAATTTTGTTTCATCAACTCAAGGTTTTAGGATTAAAACCCAGAGAAATATACACTCTCCTTCTCTAAAAATAAAAAAAAATATTTTAGCATCAAAGACCACATCCAGAGCGTGAACAGAAACGAGCAGCCTTATCAGAATGGATTCAGAAAGGGACGACTGGTCGAGTGGCCAAAAAGTTCCGTAAGGGAGCTTGTGAGAACTGTGGAGCTATGGGACACAATAAGAAGAATTGTTTTGAAAGGCCAAGGTCGAAAGGTGCCAAGTTTACAGAGTCCAACATGGCTCCGGATGACTTCTCAACTCCTAACCTGAAGTTAGATTATGCGGCTAAACGAGATCGATGGAATGGCTTTGATCCTGCGACATATAAGGAGGTTGCTGAAGACTATGAGAAGATGGAAGAGACTAGGAAGCTTATTAAGAATAAGAATGTAAGTTGATACAAAATTTGTGTTAAAACTCTCTTTGTAGACTCTCAATACAATAAGAAGGTCAGATCATGTTGTTTAGGGACTTGTTTTTGATTTATGTTGTGTTGTGATAAACAAAACTTTGGTTTTTTATGAAAAAACTTTAGTTTTCAACGGTCTTTTTGTTAAAACTCAATGTTTTAGATCCAAGATGGTCTGGAGCAGCCACCAGAGGTCGAAGGAGATGAAGACCGTTACGCCGATGACGCTGTAGCACCACAAAGTGTTGATATGGACTCAAGGACTCGAATTACTGTCAGAAATTTGCGAATTCGAGAAGATACGGCCAAATATTTGCATAATCTCGACCCTAATGGACCATATTATGATCCAAAGTCCAGGTCGATGAGGGAGAATCCGTTTGCTGGAAGACCTGGCAAAGAGCAAGAAGCTGCCAAGTTTGCTGGAGAAAACTTTGTTCGATATAGTGGAGAAGTGGTACAGGCGAACAAGGCACAAGTGTTTGCATGGGCAGCCAAAAGAAAAGGTAGGTTGGGGTTTTGGGGTCGAGTACTTGATTTTTTTAGATTTTGTTACCTAAAAGCAATTTTTTTGAGATTTATTACCTAAAAAGGATTTTTGAGAATTTTGTTGCCTAAAATAAATTTTTTGTAAAGTAAAATTTTTTAAAAAATTTTTGTTACTTAAAAATGACATTTTATTTTGTAGGTATTGACGTACATTCTCTTGCGGAACCGACCAAGCTAGAACAGTTACAACGGGAATTCGAAAAGGAAAGCAGTGGAACTAAAAATGAGGTCAAGAACAAACTCCTAGAGAAATATGGTGGAGAAGAACATCTGAAAGCACCGCCAAAAGAATTGCTACTAGCTCAAACTGAAAACTATGTAGAATATAATCGAAAAGGTAACCTGATCAAAGGAGTCGAACGAGCACCAGTCAAGAGCAAGTACGAAGAAGATGTGTATCCAGGAAATCATACTTCGGTATTTGGAAGTTGGTACAAAGAAGGCAAATGGGGCTACAAATGTTGTCATAGTTTGATGAAGAACTCGTATTGTCTTGGGGAGAAGGGCTACGAAGTGGCGGAACAATTTGCACAAACAGATGCCATTAATCAACGTCAGAAGCTGTTCCAGAAGAAGGAGGATCAACCTGGAACGTCTGGAGGTGATAAAGATGGAAAGACGAAGAAGGAAAAGGATTCTGAAGGCAAAGGTGATGAAAAGTTGAAAAAGGATAAGGATTCGGAAGATAAGCACGATCGAAGCCAAGATTCAGATTCATCGTCAGAATCAGGATCTTCATCAGAATCATCAACAGACTCCTCAGACTCAGAATCAGAAGACGATAAGAAGAAGCAAAACAAGAAAAAGACGAAAGAACAAATAGAAAAGGAAAAAGAAGCCAAGAAGAAAGCCAAAGAAGAAAAGAAAAAGGAAAAAGAAGTGAAGAAAGCGATGAAAAAGGTAGAGAAAGATAAAATCGCAGCCATTAGAGAGAATAAACAGGAAGAAATGAATGAACGAAAACGAAAGTACAACTCCCATTACGAAGAGTTTGGGAAGAAGCCGACAGAAGTTGAGTTAGAAGCTTATAATCGAACAAGAATTGAATCCTCAGATCCAATGGCTTCGTTTGAACGGGAGAAGTTGGAAAAGAAGGCCAAGAAGAGCAAGAAATAGAAATATTTTTGGTTTTTTTAACTTTAAATTTTGAGTTTTGAGCCGTGGAAGTCGAAAGGTTTAAAAAATTTTTGGTTTTTGTGCCGTTTGAGACCAGAATTTAAAATTTTTTGAATTTTTGGGCTGCTGAGGCTGAGGTACTTTAAACTTTTTTTGAATTTCCGATGGGCCACTGATTGTAAAATTTGATTTTTATTGTTGAAATGAATAATTATTCTCTTACAAACAAATATTTGAGTCAAGACGATGTGTAACATTAGATGTAATAAACTATGATAATATTGAACTTGACTTTAATATGAAAGTATATGGAATTCCAAGAGTGTTTCACATTGATTTTTAAGTCCCTTTATATTTTTTAAAAATTTTATGATTTTTCGGTCGAAAATTTTAAAGAATGATTGCTCGTTAAGGTTTAAGGAAAGCATTTCTATATATACTTTTTGAATATTAGGTTGAAACAAAAGTATCGGGACACATTTTAGTTGAAAATCCAATGAAAAGTGTCGTTACTTTTGGCTCAACCTAATAGAATAACATTTTTTATAGAAACGGTCAAAAAGTTTTTAAAATGAGGTTTCTTTTTAAAATTTTGGTCGATTTTCTCATTTTCTACGGAGTTCTTGACCAAAAATAGTTTTTACAAAAAATTTAAAAAAAAATTTTTTTCGGGCAAAAACTCTTTGGAATGGTATATTTTAGTCAACTTTGATCTTTTTTTTGGCTTTTCTACCTATTTTTTGACCGAAAACTTTATTTTTCAATAATTTTTTTTAATTTTCAAAAATTTGAAAAAATTCAAAACATTGATTTGTCACTTCCAGATTGATGTTAAAATACGATGCCCAAGTGTCGCTGAACATTGCCCGAGTATGGCTTCAAAGTGGATGGGCCAACGATGCCCGCTTCCCATTGTTATTGATCGAATGGAGTGCTCACGGCATACCATGGTTAATATTCAGTATCAGCGTGTTTTTGTACATCTGTATCAAGAATTATGACACCGAAACACAGTGGAAATGGGGCGTGTTACTGTTTGGTAAGTCTTGAGTTTTGAAAAATTTTCAAAGTTTGGACGGGTTTTAATTAAAAGTGGCATTTTAGGCCTGAGGGACGATTTTTAAGCTTAAAAAACGGGGTTTAAATCTTAAAAACGGGACGGGACCCAACCTCTAAAAGCATTTTTTAGGGTGATTTGAACATATTTTTTAAAATTAAAGGTTTTTAAATTGAATTTCTTATGGGTTTTATTAAAAAAAGGCGCTATCAAGCCTACAAACACCAATTTTAAGCCTAAAAATGGCTTCAATAAGCCAAAATTCGAAAAAATTTAAAATTTTAAAATTTCAAATTTCAAACAGTCAAATGTCATCAAAATGGAACACAAATGCGATTGAAAATATTTATTTTCTCATAACCGGGCATGAAAGGGAACGTTAAGTGATATAGAGGATGTTGAGGATCAGTTGATGGTGATTGGTCAGTAAATTAAAAATTAAGGTCCATACGATGTAGTATGATGTTAGGCACTTGATACGATGATATTTTTTTGAAAACGGTGGTAATTTTCAAAAACGTTTGGTTGTACCATTTTATACGATGAAATGTATACTTGGTAGGGGTTTGTAGAGTATAGGGGGTTGAAGGTACTGTTTGGCAGGGTGGATGGTGTTGATGGTACTGTTTTGTATCTTAAAGCATGTTGTTGGTACTGTTGTAGATGTTTGGTGGTACAATTGGTACTATTTTGTAGAGTTGGAGGGGTGTGTAGTACTAGGTGGTACGGTAGAAGGAACTGATAGTACTATTTGGTATTTTAAAATACATAGATACTGTTATATGGTACTGTAAAAGGTTTTTATGGTACTAAATTGTACGATGGAAGGTACATATAGTACTATACCAGTACAAAAACATAAAACAATGTCAAGTACAGTACCTAAACCTTCTCATTCTCTACTGAAACGATGGTCGAGGCCCCGTAGCCTTCTCTTCAGCTCCAAATCCAGCCTCACGTTTGCCGTAGTAACCATAGTAGCCATAGTAGGGGTAGCCATAACCATACCCATAAGCAGGCCAGCCGTAGTAGTACTGGGCGGCGGCTTCCTCAACCACAAAGCCAATCAAGAACAAAGCGACCAAAAGCGTCAAAGTGACTTGAGACATGATTCAGAAGACTGTAGAACAGTTGAACTGATGAGGTTTGACAAACTGTGATTGGTATATATACTGGTCGATTTTTGAAAAAAAAATTGGGATGGGCGGGTCAAGAAATTAACGAATTTGCGAGGTTAAGGCGGGTCAAGCTTAATCGTTTGTTGTTCGAATCAGGGAGCTACGATACGATTTGTTTGTGTTTGAGAAAAGAGCACGTAGGGTTCGTAGACAAGACAGTAGAGAAGCCAGGCGATTCTGGAGGGAATGAATATTGTTATAGAAGTTATGATAAAAGTTACTGTCTTTCAAGTCGGGTTAGGTCAAGTTTTGTCCAGATTTGTCAGTTTAAAAAGTTATTGCCATGGCCTGGAAGAAGAATTATAAGAATCGCTTCTTCATGATCAATATGATCAATGTCAACAATGAAATAAGAACAATTACAATTAAAAATTCAAAAAAAAAATCTTTTTCAATGAAATCTAAATAGAAATTTTGGCATTTCATGAATTGTGAGACTTGCCACGCCTGTTTGCAGGTTGTTTTCTGTCGTATAGAAGGTCTATCATAGGCTTAAATTAATCTACAGTGGAGCTTGGGGACTTTCATTTTTGTTTGTTATAAAGAAGTTTTGGTATGCAGGGATTTTATTAGGTGGCGACATAAAGAACCCGCCATTACTGAAAATTACAGGCAAGGTATGGCGGGTTTTTTATGTTGGCGCCTAATAAATGCACTTTGAAATATTAGCTTGAGTAGTTGCCCGCTATACAGGCTTTTCGCTATAGTTTGGTATACATAAGTTCTATGTATAACAGAAGTTCTATTATATATATAAAAAGGAAGTATAACTTTAATCTCAATGTAGTTTTGTGATATATCACGTTATACTACTGTTTGTTCTGACAACTTCTTTTTCACAATAATACACTTTTCTATTACTCTTTTGACAAATGGTATGTATCTACCGTATACTCTAAGGTTTATTTTTTCTATCTTTTAGTTAGTTTAGGCTTATAGTTTGTGTTTTGGACATTATACGGTTACTGTCTTTAATTTTCTTTGGGTTCTGTTGCCTTTTTTGTCTAATTTATTGTAGATCTGTCCTACTAGGCCTAGTCAAGGTAAGTGTGAAAGAGGCTGGGCCGGCACATGAGATATGAAAAGGCTGGGCCGGCACAGGGCCTGAGGGCCGAGGTCCACACTAAACCATGGCTTGTAGGTCGGTGTTGAATTTCGGATCAAAAAAACCGGAAAATTAAGCACAGCCCTTCATTTTTACAAGCCTAGTATAAGTCGCTTTCTTGGCTATCATTTCTTAGACTATAGACTTGTAAAAGGTTCAGTCGATCCGGCTCCAATTTTTTGAAACGGCTCTCTTCAAATTTTCTTTGGCTTGGTTTAGCCAGACTTGGGGCCGGGCTTAGTGGGATTTCTTTCAGCTCCAATTTTTTATATCTGTAATTTTATTGCCATTATGTTCTATCTTTTGTTACTCATTCGCTTTTACCTACTGTAGTTTGTCACGTTTTTTTATACCTCAATCAAGACGATGACGCAGAACACAAGCCAAAGTTTGTACAACCCAAAAATCTTTGACCCAAATGCTGACGCATCTAACATGTTCGTACGCACATTGTCAAACATTACTAATTTTCCAGAAATTTTCGGTTTGTTCTAGCATTTTTTTTTCATTTTCGATTTGTTTTAGTATTTTTTCATCCCTTTAATCAGTTTTTTACAATCGCTACTCAATTGACAAACAATTCGAGGTGGTGTTTGTGTACGGACTTTTCGAACACTCTCGACCCGAACCCGCGCAAACAGTCGCGGCCGCTATTTCCGGAGGGCCTAAACAAGGCGGGGTTTGGTTAGAGACGAGAAATTGAAGATTAGTGAGGTTACTATTGTGAGGTATGGTTGAGTTTGGAAATTTGAAGGTAAAATACACTGGGAAATTTGAAGGTAAAATACAGATTCCACTTGCCGAGCGTAAAAACACTGAAAGACAATGAAGTTTTTAGGCTTAAGATTATGTTAGGCTAAAAAGGATCTGTAGCCTAGCTCATCTTAAGCATAAAAACGTCTCAAATCTAGCAAAATATAAGCCTAAAATCAATTTAAATCAAGCTTAAAAATACTATAAGTCTTAAATTACAATAAGCCTAAAAATACAATAAGACTAACATTATGCCAAGCCTAAAACAATGACAAGCCTAAAAATTTGCTAAGCCTAAAATATTGTCAAGTTTAAAATAATGATAAGCCTAAAATCCTTCTAAGCTTAAAGATACGATAAGCCTAAAATTATAATGTGCCTTAAACTATGATAAGCCTAAAAATACAATAAGCCTAAAATTATGCTAAGCCTAAAACCATGACAAGCCTAAAAATCTGCTAAGCCTAAAATCCTTCTAAGCTTAAAGATACGGTAAGCCTAAAATTCTGATAAACTTTAACTCATGTTAAACCTAAGCTCAAGCAAAGCCTAAACTAAAGGCTTAAAAAATTTTTTTTGTTTTTTTTTATTTTTGTCTACTCTATGTTCTCTACCTACACCTCACTCCGTCTCCCTATCACCCGAGCCGCGCCAAGAAAACCGGTTCCGTGGAAGTTTGCCAAGCCCTCGAGACGTGAGCTCAAACACCTCCACTCAACCTCAATAAAAGCTCAGAATCAACAGAGCGGAGGCATCAGTTCAACTGTATCTACTACAATATGTCCAAGTTCACTTTGTCCCTCTTCGTCGCTCTCTTCATCATCGGATTTGTCGCTCAAGAAGCCACCGCCCAATACTACTACGGTGCTTATCCATATGCTTATGGTGGCTATGGATACGGATACCCGGGCTACGGATATGGCTACGGATACTACGGCAAACGTGAAGCTGGCTTTGGACCTGCTGAACAGGCTGAGGGTATCAAGCCACCTCATGCGCAGTAGAGATTGAAGGCATTTTGGATCAATGTCATCTGATCAAAGGACTTTTCGCCTTATCATATGATAAATCGAGTATAATGTCATCTACAACGGCTTTACATGGTCATTGTTTACTATCTTCAGGCTAGTGTTTAAAGCAGTATATTGTGATAGTGTTTACGAGGCATCAACTTGTAATTGTTCTTAAAACTTTAGTTTTGATGATTTGAAGTTATACTACCTGATTTCACTGCCAAGTCTTTCTTTCTTTTTTCAATTTCTCATTGTACAACCAAGATCTTTTAGTTAGTTATCATTGGACTGACAATTGTCATCTCATTCCATACTTTTAATGATTTGAAATAAACTTTTTATTGAACAACTTCAACTTGGAGCCCTTTGATACATTGTTACATATCTGTGTTGATGAAGTAGTCTAACCTTTGCTCCTTAGTTTGGTTCTGCAAATATCTACCTTTTTATGGTAGATATTTGCTTCTTGTAAGGTAGTCATAGCAATAAATACGTGGCTTTTCATTCCAAATTATTGGCTTGGTAAAGGCTGAACTATAACTCAATAAGGGGCTAGAGCTTTGATGGGTTACTTATAGTCTACAAGGCAGTATTAATATTATTCAACATAACATTCATATAGATAAGGCAATATTAGTACATTAAGTACAGTGGTTTCTCACGAACCATCTGTAACCAACTCTCTTTATTATAAACAAGAAATTTGACTCCGCTAAGTCAATTTGCATTAAAAATCACTTTATAAAGACAACACCCCCTATAGTAAACACAAAATGTTGGTCCCTTCTGGTTGCTTATGTAGACAGAGTAATGTATAAATAAAGCAATATTAGTACTGAATGTGAGAAGTGTCAGCTTTTAAAAAAATTTGGTAAAATACGTCGCATATATTTATTCGATCAATAAAAATTTATGATTTCAGGTTAGTCAAGCTGTAGTTTTGTTGATGTTTGAGCGTGTTGTTTGCAAATGAAAAAAAGCAAAAGTTAAATCGAGATTAAGAATTTTCCATAGACAAACAATGTTTATGTTTGTATGTGTTTAATAAGTGCAGAGACATATCACAAATAATGGCAGGATTATGTGAATCACAAAATTTTGGTTTTTAAGGTTTAGGCTTAAATGATGTTTAAAAATGAGCCTAAAGGTTGACTAAATTGAAAAAATAAGCTTGAAAAGAGAGCTAAAGTCTAAAAATAAGCCTAAAATTAGAAGTAATATTTAAAAATAAGTCTAAAAATAGAGATAAATTCTAAAAATAGGCCTAAAGTTAGAAGTAATATTTAAAAATAATCCTAAAATTAGAAGAAAGGTTTAAAAATAAGTCTAAAAACAGAGACAAATTCTAAAAATAGGCCTAAAATTAGAAGTAATATTTAAAATAAGCCTAAAATTAGATGAAAGGTTTAAAAATAAGCCTAAAAATAGAGACAAATTCTAAAAATAGGCCTAAAAGTAGGATTAAAATTTTAAAAATAAACCTAAAAATAGAAGTAAACCCTAAAAATAAGCCTAAAATCACAATCAAAATTTAAAATAAGCCTAAAAATAGTATTAAACTGTTAAAATAAGCCTAAAACGTCACCCAACATTTAAAATAAGCCTTGTTTTAGGTATTGGACTAGACCTAGCTTGCGTTGGACTAATAAAAATTGCTGTCAGAAGGCCAAGGCCACCCTACAATCATGATGATCAAATCTACGAAGCGCCAGTCGCTGACAAATACAGTTTTCCCTCAGGGCATACTTCTAGGGCCACTATGGTTTGTGCTTTAATGTAAGTGGGAGTGGGATGAAAAATGAATTGTTGGCCTAAAACATGAGTTTCTTTAGACTTTTTGACTGGAAAGGATTATTTCTATGAACTTTTTGACCAAAAAGACATTTTCTTTTAATTTTTAGCCTAAAAAGTGCAATTTTTGAACATTTTTGAACATAAACAACTTTTCTACAAACTTTTTGACCCCAATTGTTAAAAAATTAAATTGCCGTTTTAGTGTTGAACTACTGGATGTAAACTCCTATCATACTAAACTATTCATCTACACCATTCCGGTGCTATTAGGCTTATCAAGAGTGGCATTGGGACGACATTATTTGACTGATGTCATGGCTGGTAAGCTATTATAATATGCGGTTGATAATGAAATTTTTTTGTAATTTTTAGTTTTTAGGCTTAAAATTTTTACTTTTTTCAAATTTTTGAAAATTTGCATAAAAAATTTTTTGAAAAATTTTAAATTTTAAAAACTTATTAGGTGCCGACATAAAAAACCCGCCATACTTTTCATGTAATTTCCTGTAAAAAATGGCGGGTTCTTTGTGTCGGCACCTAATAGTAAAAATAGTGATGACAATCCTTACAGGCCACGTCCTGGGCTCGATTGAAGCAATCATCGCTATGTGCTTACCACAAGCTGCTGTGTCTTTCGCTAGCTATTACATTCAGGAAGCGTTCACTTGAATTGTCACAGAACCATTTTTAGGTTGAAAAATTGGTTTTATGGTTAACTTATGGGCTTTCTTCAGCTTCAAACATAATTCTTGCCAAAGGTTTTTAAAGAGCAATAAACGAGCTAGATTAGGAAGATTATTGATATTGTCAAAGCGGTTATTTTAGGCTAAAAATTAAATTTTTTAAATTGTGGTTTTTAAACTTTGAAGCCAGAAAGGTTTAACTTGATTATAGGTTTAAATAGATTTTAGGCTTAATATACTTTTATGTTTAACTTGATTGTTAGGCTTAAATTGATCATTCTAGTCTTAACATAATTTTATGCTTACCATGATTTTAGGCTTATTATGATAAAAGGCTTATCTTAGTTATGGCTTAACTTGATTATAGGCCTAAATTGATTTTAGGCTTATCGTCATATTAAGCTTAAATTGATTTCAGGCTTAATTTGGTTTTAGGCTTAACATGATTTTAGGCTTTACTTGGTTTCAAGTTTCCTATAATTTCAGACATACAGTGGCTTTAGGTTAAATGTAATTTTAGGATTATCATGACGTTAGGCTTAACGTTATTTTTGACTTAGAATTCCACCATTACTAATATAAACAAGTTTATTTTACCTCGTAAGTGATGATATATGATCGTAATATACAATAATATGTTGTTTTTTCCTTTTTGAGTACTAATACTATAACTTAAATCAAGTATTAGTACTCTTAGTCGAGCCAGTAGTCTGTGAGCTCTCTTGCGAGCTAAAACTGGCATTCGATGGCCTAGCCTGTCGTTGTACTTTAATCTTTCGTCCATCTGATACATAAACTTCATCGGTTTGAGATTCCAGATCCAATGTGGTGTAGTTAAGGTCCTCACTTCTGTCGCGACGTCGCTTCTTCCTCAAGATACGACGTTTGTAGCATAGATAACAGTGGGTAACGGCAAAACAGGCCATGAAGCATATTAAACCGCCAAATAGGAATAATAACACTGCTGCTATTATCGACTCGAATTCGGCACCAATTGGGGTCAGCTCCATGGTACCGTGTATAGTACGGTTTTGGGAGCTTGAACCTGGAAATAATGGCACAGTTAGCAGATGAAAACATGCAGATATGTAGGTATACATGCGTTCAAAATAAAAAACACGATTTGAACATTCAACTCAGTTTAGGCTTAACATGCGTTTAGGCTTAGACCAAAATTTTAGGTATAGAATAATAAACTTTAGGCCTATAACATAATTTAGGCTTATAACACAATTTTAGGCTTAGTGAAATTTTTTTTTAGGCTTAAAACAAAATTCTAAGTTTGGCATACAATTTTAGGCTTATAACAAAATTTTAAGCTTGGCATACAATTTTAGGCTTATAACACAATTTTAGGCTTAGCATACAATTTTTAGGCTTATAACACAATTTTAGGCATAGCATACAATTTTTAGGCTTAAAACAGAATTTTAGGTTTAACACGCAACGTTAAGCTTAAAATCAGTTTTCTTTGATTTTAGGCTTAATATGACCTAGGCTTAACTTCCCCATTCATCAAAGCTCGGGTATACAGACACCCATACTCTACAGATTAGATTCTTCTCTTTTGCTGATTTTAGGCTTATCTAGACTAAGGTTCTTAAAAATAAAGTTTCCAAACCCCTAATATTACGTTTTTCAAACCCAAACCCTTTGGCTAGCAAAGAACGGGGCCAAAACAAAACTGGACATGGTTAATGTGGAGCCATCTTTTGTGTCTAAACAAGACACAAGTGTCACAACCGATGACTGACAGCCTTTCAAACCCCTTCAGACACTTGATATAATTACTCGACTTGTGATTACAAACAATCAAATCCCGTTTTATGGCTTTTTCGAACAGTGGGCAATGTTAAGCTTAATTGTTTTTCGAAAGGCATGAAATTTAAAAATTTTCAGACAAAATTGAAATTTTGAAATAAAAAAAACTCGAGATTTTAAACCAAGAAGGTGGAAGGATGGGGTGATGGAAGTGTGAATACAGCTCAAAGTTGTTTACCTCGAAAAAGGTCAAGTCGAACATCAGATCAAAAGACTTGTTACCCCACTTGTGTTAAGAATTAGGGTTAGGTTGACAGGATTAGTCTAGGGAAAGTCAAGGTATGGCAAATTAGGTTTTAACTGAAGTTATTAGAAAAAATTGCAGCTGGTTTAGGATAAGTAGACTTAGCCCCAGTAGGCTTAGGTTTAGTGGGCGTAGGATTAGTAGGTTTAGGCTTAATACATTTAGGCTTAGCAGGGTTGACCTTAGTAGGCTTAGGCTTAGGCTTAGTAGGTTTAGGATTAGTAGGTTTAGGCTTAATTCATTTAGGCTTAGCAGGCTTATGCTTAGTAGGCTTAGTGTTTATAGGCTTAAGCTTTGTAGTTTTAGGCTTAAGAGTTTTTAGACTAGGCTTAAAAGAGTAGGCTTAAATGTAGGCCTTTTCATACTAAAGTAGACATAAAAATATATATGGCTGAGAAAAATTGATACCTCGCAGAAACATAAAGTGACATCCCAACACTTGCAGTCATTTGTTGGGTCGTTTTACATCGAGGCAAATATTACAAAATCAAAAAATATTACATAAGAAAACGTTGCGTAACACCATTTCTTGCAATTTCTCTAAGGCTATCTAAACCATCAATATTAGGTCATTACGCATAATATTCCAAAAAACCTCTTGCGTAGGATAACATAAGGCTTAGTAGGCGTACTTGGTAAGCTTAGGCTTAGTGGGCTTAGGCTTAGTAAGTTTGGGCTAGTAGGCTTAGGCTTAGTAATCTTAGGCTTAGTATCCTTAGGCTTATTAAGCTTAGACTTTTTAAGGTTACAGATTTTGAGGCTTTATACTTATTCAAGGCAGGCTTGGCTTAAATTTAGGCTTATTTACTAATAAATTGGGTTAAAACATTTTGATTAGGCTTAATTGAGATAAAGTATTACCTTATATAAAGTACTGTAACAACCAGCGAAAATTTTAAAAACCTTAAAGATGGTCACCAACATAAAATGGCTTAAGCTAAAAACATAACATAAGTGGTACAAGGAACCAGATCAAAATACCCTGAGGTCTTCATCCTCTTCCTCTCCCCTTCTCTCCATCCCCCCCCCCTCCTGAAGCCTGAGATCACTTTAAAAACGACGTTACTCTTGCCGAAAACGAAGAACGGAACGTTGTCTCCAAACCTTTGAACCGACAACTGTCAGGCCGTGCTGACGTTCGGCCGCCGCTTACGAACACGTGCGGCTTTGGGCTATCAGTTTTCTTTTACGATCCCACTATTTTTGATAAACAATTTGATTTTTGCAAACGCCCAATTGTCTCAAATAATAAATCGCCTGGCCAATGGTGTCGGTCGATTTGGTCGCTTGGCCTCGGATGTTACAAATAATGACATTTTTTACTAATTTCAGGTGATAAAGGTTGTGGGGCATGTTTTTGGTCTTTAAGTTTAAGGAAGTAAAATTTATAAATACGAAAATGGCAAAAAATGTGAAAACTACGCTTTAATAGTAGCGACAAAACTTTTTTCAATTTTGTTTTGAAACTAGTTTGAATATTGATTTTCCCGCAAACTGTGGCATTTCGTTACAAATTGATTTTTTCGGTTTGGTTGGTTAAAATTTACTATTTTTTACGTATTTGACAAAAATTGAGTTTTATTGGCTTTAAAAATCATGTCAAAACAGAATGCCAAAAACCCGCGAAATTTAAAAAAGGTTTTTCAAGAAAGGAAAAAGTTTGAACCTTGGCAATAATAATGACAAAAATAATAAAAATGAAGTTTCTAACAGTTATTAATACTAAATTTTATCTATTTTGTCAACTATTCGCCTTAAATTTGTCTTCACACATTATGCCTTTTGGTCCCACCACGAAAACGAGCAACGCAAACCAAATAATTGGCATTCCGCCCTTTCGCTTATTTTTTTGCATTATTTATTTGTTCGACCCGAATTTCCGCCAAAAGCACGTTTTTCCCGTCTCTCCACAGCTATTCCACAACCATAAGACGATATTGTTGTTGAGTTGGGCGGCCGGAAGCGATGAATTCGACAACCGCAACAAATGGGCGACCCCTACTACAATGAGAACACATTCCTGTGTGGCTACCAACGAATCCGCCGATATGGCTCGACCTGGGACCTGAATTCGCCGTCGAATTCGCAACGAAAACCGCTGAGTATCATTGAACACGAGGTAAAACCGACGGATACTTTGCAGAACCTTCAAATCAAGTACAATACCAACATGTTTGAGATTAAACGTATCAATAAGTAAGCGTTTTCGTGGATTTTGTTCTTGTTTTAGGAAGTGGAAGGTCCGAAATGTGCTTTTGACAGGTCTTTTGAGGAGTATTGGGCAAAAGAGAGGTGCGGAACGTTTAAATTTTTGAGGACATGAATAATATAGGTAGTGCAAGGTACATTTGATCGGAAAAAGACTTATACTCTTCAGAAATGACTGGCTTTTGCGTGTAAAAGTTAGAATACAATATTGCGCATCTTATAAATATATTAGACCAGAGTTTCAAACAAAACACTTTTTTATTTACAAAAATTCTGCTATAAGAATGGATAACATAAAATTTCAATTTTTGACTGGATTTTTGGTCAATTTTGAGGGTTTTTTGAGTATTATGGATTCAAGACGTACTTTGATAGCATTTGTTGATGTTTTAACATACCTTTAATGTATTTTTTAGCTTTCAATGACTAAAAACACTTTAAAATTCATAAAATAAAGTCACTCGTTCAAAGTTATCTTATCAATTTTGTAAACAAAAGTTGGTTTTTATCTGTAAAATCATCGTTATCATCAAAAAACAATGGCAATTTTGGTGTTTATTGACTATAATACGTTCAGATAATACTGGCTTTGTTTTTGAAGTCTGTTCTATATTACACTTTACATTATACCACAAAACTTATATTACATTTGGTTAAACTAAAAACAGATTTAAAAGAATCATTATAACACTATATCTATTAAAAGATCGGCCTAAAACTTCTAAAAGCACCAATATTACACTAGATCTTCCAAAGATAAGCCTAAACAATCGTATTTGTTTTGTAGATTGTGGTCGAATGACGCCTTGTACGCTCGCACACATATATCAATACCGATCTACGATGACTCGCCGTTATCGACACGATCTCTGTCGTCCGAGAAAGTGACCAAACCTGCGAAACCGGAAATTGGGCCGGAAGAGGAGTCGGTTAAGGACTTTTTCAAACGAATCGACCAAAACGTTCGCCGGACCAAGAAAGTGGTGCGCAAGATGAATAAGACACAGACAATCGAGTGATATCTGGGGCTTTGGTTGGGAATCTACCAGTTTTTTGGTTTGTTCTGATATCGACCAGTAGCCAAAATCGACCAGTAGCTAAAATCGATCAGTAGCAAAAATCGACCGGTATTTTAGGCTTTTTGGTTTAGTTTTGTTATTGTTTTAGTATGATATTGATATTGTCTGGGTTCTTCAAAAGGTATAGCTCAGTACTAGAGGCGTCGCTGGGTAGTTGACGCCTTTGTTTACCACGGTGTTGTCAAATCACTTAGGATAGTATACTACGATATAAAACTCATTTTAATATATAAAAAGAGATATATTTTTAAAATTTTTATTTTTTCTACATTTAGGTAACATTTCGATTTTTTTTTGTAAAATACGTTTTTTTGAACTGATTCTATCTAAAAGTTAGATGTTTAGGCAGCTTTTTATGTTATTCATGACAAAATTTTAATTTAAAATTTGTTTTTGATTTTAAAATTCTATTTTTTTAATTTCAAAATTTTTAAATAGTGTATTTTTTTGGTCATTTTAAGGTCTATCTACAGTAAATTTATTGATATTTCTACGTTTTTTACTTTAGGCACTTTTCACCTTTAAAACTCAATTTTTTTTGTCATTTTTTAAATTTTAATATTTTTTTAATTTTAAAGATTTTTAAAAATTTTTTTATTTTTAAAATTTTTTTTCCTTTTCTTTCAAATTTCAATTTTATATCGTCTAACGAAGCTATTTTACTGACGTAGAAATGTAAATGAGTTTATACGACGCTAAATGTATATAGTCTCGAATGATATCTCATCCCAGAAATGGGCCTTCAATTATTCAAATGAATGTGATTTCACCGATTACATTGTCTCGCTAATTTTTTTCAAATAAAAGATTATTCTTTACAAATTTGATGGTTTTTTCGAACTTTTGCAAATTTTTGGAGTTTTTTGGGAGGAATATTAAATTTTTGAAATTTAAAAAATTTTTTAGGTATTTTAAAATATGGGGTTTTTAAAGCATAGAAGGGGCTATATATTCTGTAATTTTCATGTTTATTTCATAATTTATGAAAAATTTATGATTGATTGAAAAAGTCGAAAATCAAAAAAAGTTCGAATCCGCTTGGAGGCGTCTGCCTTTTTTATTTATAACTTTTTTCTAAAGCTAGCTAAGAAGATGAAAATTGATATGTTTGTTGAAAATCGTGTTGTTAATTAGTATACAAAAGAAAATAGCACATGATGAAAACTTTTTGAAGTAACAGTAATTTTATCTTTATTTTTTATTTTTTACATGGTTTTTGTAAAATTAGGCTTAGGATCAATACCCACAGGCTTATCAGTAAGATTCGGCTTTGTAGGTTTAGGTTTTGTAGGCTAAGACTAGTAAGGTTGGGTTCAGTAAGCCTAATCTTATTTGGCTTGGGCTTAGGAATCTTAGGCTCTGTAGGCTTAGCTGGCCTATTTTTTTGAAAAATAAAATAGTTAAAAAATAAAAAGAAAATTATGCATTTTTGTGTTTACTATGTATTTATGATTGTAAGAATTCATTTAATGCAGTTTTTTGAAAAGATGAATAGTAATTTCACATAAAAATGCAAAAATATACGATGATATTGGCGTAGACAGTTCAGTAAGATAAATGAAATAAATAGTTCCAAAAAATGAATTCAAAATTTTTTCTTGGAAAAGCTGACTTATATAGTTACTATAAGTATAATTTATACCGGAAGTAAATTTTACAGTTTGTGAGGAACGTGACTTCTATAATTTATACTGGAAGTAAAGTTTTTTCCGAGTTTTAGGCATAATTTTAGTTTTGTTGAGGGAGGAATGTGGATGAGGCGGAGAGAAAGGGGGGGGGGAGAGATCGGGAGGAAAGGTAGGGTATAAAATGTTATTCTAGAAGACATATATCTTTTTTATTTTAAAATAACTTTGCTGTGGTATGGTTTTGATTTTGATGGCTATGATGATTGCCGAGTGAAGAAGAGAGCGGGGGTAGATTATGAGCTTTGTTCTCAATTTGACAGAGACTTGGTTTAGCTTTATGGTAGACATTGCTCTAGCCTACGTGATCCTAGCCTACTCTACTCTACCCTATTATATCTTAGCTGTACCCTATCCCTACTTAGTCCTACCCTAGCATCACATTACCCAGCCCACGTCAACGCGATTTTCATTTATGTTAAATTGAAAAAAATGCAGGGATAGAATTTATCTACTTGGCCGTATAACTAACTTTTGTTAAAGCAGTTTTACATAATTGACCTATTTTATAAGTTACGTCATAAAACGTAAAAATATGTAAAATCAGTAAGATATACTCCGACGGTTTTCCCAATTTAACATCCATTTTGTCAAAACGTCAATATCAAATTTTGTAAAAACACAATTTTTGATCATAAAAAACCCCTCGAAAACAAAATTTTTCCCAATCGTAAATATAATAGAAAATTAAACTAGTTTTTTAGCTACGTTTTTATATATAAAACTATTACTAACATAATTGTTTTACCAATAAAAAAATTTTTTAAAGATATAGCATTTTTTTCCCGCCAAATTTGCTAATCTTGGCATAACGTTTCGCGTTGACGTGCAGCCTTATACATGAAAGGGGCCTACTAATCAAGGGTCCAGTTCCTTTACAACTCTAGGTGGTTATTTATGAAAGGTGAATGTTGTAAAATACGGTCATAACAGTTGTGTTTTTTAACTTAACTTTTCTTATAACAAAAAACAGTAAAATTATCATTTCTGAGTTACAAAAACGGTTGTAAATACTTGGCTTGTTTACAGTCTCTTTCCGGTGTTTTAACACGCAAAGTCCTACGAGACACGGTGTTTGTGACAGTACTGTTCTATGGTTTTTATGTTTGGAAGTTACAGTTTTCTTTTTTTGCAAAATTTTTCAAAAGATTAGTGGTGGGTGGGGTAAAAATGGTTTTCTTGTTTACTTTGCTTTGACCCCCTACCCTTGCTTTACTCTAGCCTTAAATTAATATTGTCTTGGCTTTATCAGCCTTCCTTTAACCATAATGAGGCTTTAGTTTAGCCCTCTACTAACGTTCGTGTCTTACTCTACCCTACCCTACCCTACCCTACCCTACCCTACCCTACCCTACCCTACCCTACCCTACCCTACCCTACCTTCCCCTACCCTACCCTACCCTACCCTACCCTACCCTACCCTACCCTACCCTACTCTACCCTACCCTACCCTGCTCTACCTTACTCTACCCTACCCTATCCTTCTCTACTCTATCTCCTCCTACTTTACCTTGCCTTATCCTACCCTACCTTTATTCTACCCTACCCAGGCTGAAACTTGACTCTACCCCCAGTTCTATCATAGGATCTTCTTATTAAGTTTTCTATAGTATCCTGTCATATAAATACTTTACCTATTTTCTTACTGTAACTCTATCTTACCCTATTTTTCACATTTTTGTGCCATTTTCAAATACAAACTCATGTTTACAATTGTGTCACCTTCAGACCAGATTTGGTTTACAATACGTTCTGGGACTGTTACAACCGGAGAAAAAAGGAAAGTGTGGGAATTCGGACGTTGTTAATGGTTACAATGTCTGCTTCTCATGACAAACCCCTCCGAACGTGGATATCTTGTCACCTATTTTTGTAAGGTTGTAATGTCATAGAAACTCCATGTCTTGTGTTCTAGGGTAGATAAAGGTATCATGGGGCAGGTAGGATAGGGCCCTATAGGGTAAGATACGGTCAGGTAGGGTAGAATTGAGTCAGGGAGAGCATATAAAAGTAAAACAGGGTAGCATTGGATCAAATAGGGTTGGGTAAAATCCCAAAAGTTACTGTAACTTTTAACCAAAGGTAGGGTATGGTAGCATTAGGTCAGGCAAGGTAAGGTAATAGGGCAGGACGGGGTAAAATCATAAAAATTACTGTATGTTTAGCTGCTGGTAGGGCAGGATTAGGTCAGTCAGAGCGTGGAAATGTAGGACTTGGTAGTATAGGACCAGGTAGGGTAGGATAGGATAGGGGGGGAGGGTAAAGTAAGGTACGGTATGATAAGGCAGGCTAGAGTAGAGTAGGGTAGGGTAGGGTAAAGTAGGGTAGGTTAGGGTAGGGTAGGGTAGGGTAGGGTTGGGTGGGGTAGGGTAAGATATGGTAAGGTTAGGTACGGTAAGGTATTGTAAGATACGGTACGGTAAGGTACGTTAAACTGGGGTGGAACAGGGCCAATTTGGGTATAGTTATCCTAAAGTAATGTTATATTTTTGCTTTTGAATACTTAATTAACCCTCTCTTCCCGATATCTTTCTCTATTTATTATTACTGCAAATTAACCCCAATTCCAACAGCATAAATTACAGTAGCCCATTAAGGAATTTTTCTTCAAAATTGGATTTTTTTTTCTTTTTTTTTCTAAAAACTAACCGAATTAACGTGTGAAACCTTTTTTGGACGTTTTTTCATTCTGAAAGTAACACACTTCATACTCCAACTTGTTTATTTCGGCACGATATTGTTTAATATTTTAGGGCTTCGTCTAAAAAACATGTTTCACTTCGGTTTTTTAGCTTTTTCATTACTTTACAGAGGTTTTTTTGAAAGCTTTTTAGGGCATTAGAGGTTAGGGAGGACAGGAGCGGGTAGGGACAGTGTAAGACTAAGATAAGGTTGTGTAGGGCAGGACGAAGTTACAAATTTTTTCTGGGGAAGAGAGGGGGGAGAATCTGTTACTTATTTGTTACCTTTCCTTTCTCGATACGACGTCCTTGGTATAATAAGGTTAGGATATAGTCCGGCAGAGCAGGGTAAATTTTAATATAAAAATATATTTTTTAAATTTTTGCGTGTACCGACTTTAGTGAAAGTTTACGGCCGATCAAACGTAAAATACGTTTATTTAAATATTATGGGAAAAATCGACGTATTTCAGGCAATTTTTACAAGAAGTTTGATTAAAATCGGCCGTCACATTAAAAAGATATAGAAATATTACTTTAGGCTACTTCACATTCTGCAACTGGTTGTTTAACT